ACACACACACACACACACACACACACACACACACACACACACACACATGTATGAGCATCTAGGTGGCACCTGTGGATAGAGTGCTGGGCCTGGAGTCAGGAAGACTCATCTTCCTGAGTTCAAATGTGACCTCTGACACTTACTAGCTGTGTGACCTGGGCAAGTCACTTAACCCTATTTGCCTCAGTTTCCTCATCTGCAAAATGAGCTAGCTGGAGAAGGAAACGGCACACCACTCCTGTATCTCTGCTAAGAAAACCTCAAATGGGGTCACAAAGAGTCAGACACGACTGAAAAACAACAAAAATACATATATGTGTAATTTAAAATTGAAGGCACACTATACTTATTTCTTAGCTATAAAAGAAACATTTGATTTGGTAATGCAAAATGTTGCTTTTGAGGATCTCCATCAAGATATGCATATGCATATCCATATGACAAAATTACACATAATTCCTTTGAATGATGGAATAGGAGATAATATTCTTCAGCTCTTTGACTTTCAGTGTAAAGTAAAGGATAGAGTGAAAGATAAGTAAAGCTCTGAATATACTTCTCATCATTGGAAAGAGGGCTGATGGACTAAAAGCCTAGAATTCTCAGACATACTCAATGTGTTCATTCGTTTTGCTTGACTATGCATATTTGTTGCAAAGAAAGAATTCTTTCTACGGGGGTTGGGGAGAGAATGGTAGATTGGAAAGTAGTGATGGATATGCCAAAAAAAAAAAAAAAAATCAGTAAACTTTTTTTGAGTCATAGGAGAAAACGAAACAGTTTTAGGAGATATAAACAGGATAGGTGTGTATAGTTTTTATGTTGTTTATTTTTATTTTTCCTCAATTACAAGTAAACAAATTTTTTTTTACATTTGTTTTTTAAAATTCTGAGTTCCAAATTCTCTCTCTCCCTCTCTTATTTTGTGGTTGATTTGATTTCAGTTGTATTCATAAGGCATTTCTAACAAGTAAAAATGTTGCATAAGAATTACTATTTTTATTAATTTAATTTCTGTTTCTTATTAATAGTCTCATCAAATGCTTTAAGTATAATGATATTTATGAGTTAGTTAAGTTTAAAAGGGTGCTGGACATCAAACTTTCTGTTTCAAAAAATGTAAATCCCAGTCAGCTTGATAGCATTTGTAATTATACACAAATTTGTATTTTAGAACTAAACTTAGTTTTAAGCAAAAAGGAGGATATATGTTAGTTATTACCGTTGAGAGAATAGAATTGTCAGTGTGGAAATCGGTGTCTTTTTACTTCCTTAGAATTCTATAGTTAAAGCTGAGACAAAAAAAAAAAAAAATACTCCATTGGGTCTGTGATCTCATTAGTGTGGCTAGTCTCTTCAAAATTGTAGATTACAAACCTTCCATGCCTGCCCATCCTGTGCCACTGTAAATTTACTGCAGGGAAGTCCACCTAGCATGCATGGCGTCTTTTTCTCTGTTTCTTACCATTCTGTAGGTACCAATAGAACATGTGTATACTGATTCCTCGATTTTCCCATGTTCATTCTGTGACTAGTCCGTCTTTTATTTTGGTTCTGGATTTCTCAAATGGCATCCTTTACGACTCTTCTCCTTTGTATTTCTTCTCTTATATTATAGCTTGCTGTCACACACCATGAGCCCTCCCGTTGCAAACAGTCTTAGGCCAATGACATTAGCATCATGCCTGGCACATAATAGGCACTTAGTAAATGCTTATTGACTGATTAATGACTAAGCATGTTTGACTGTTTTATATCTTCTATGACATTAGAAGTTGGAGCATTGAACATTTTTTTTCTGCTAGATCTTTCAGAGAGTCTTGTATAGCTTTGACATATGTAAGGGAGAAACCCAGCATTAATGGAAAGCCTTGGAGGTATCTCTTTGTTCTACCAAAGCAATTGCATTTTTATAGTCAACAAATAAGTACCGTGTGTGTTTGTGTTGTCCAACCTTTCAGTCAGTTATGTGATTTTGTAAAGATGTCAGCTATTACAGTACCATTTATCAAAACTTGTTTGTTCTTTTCTTATATCTTTATTAAGGATGCCCTTTATACATTGTAGATTATCATCATAAAATTATTTAGAGATGTCAAAATAGACATATGGGTATATAGTTCCTGATATTCTTTTCACCACCTTTTTACTTTAATGAAAATAAGATCAGAATTTTTTCCTATGCCTTTGGTATCTTCCCTTCCTACAGATACCTTGACAATCAATGCCTTCAAACTTTTGTTGCCTCTAATATGTACTTCCACAACGGATGCTTTTTAAAAATACAGCAATTTTTCTCATCTTTTTTTTCTTCAAAGCCTTTTCTAGTTCCCCCTATAGCATGTCTGTGACTGATGAAAAAATCCAACTGTTTTATTTTCACTATCCTCAATATTGAAGAGAATTTGTTATAAAAAAATTTTTTGCAGGTCTCTTTTTTTTTATGTTTGGTATCCTTCTACTTTTATCCATAAGTGCCCTTGGATGACATGTTCTTTCTGACCCTAAAGGAGCAATGAGTAGAAGTTGAAAAGAGATGAATTTATTGTTAATGTCAGAAAGAACTTTTCTGATAGCTAGAGCTGATCAGAAGTTGAATCTTCTTCCATGAGAGATTCTAGGTTCTTCTCTTCCTTAGAGGACTTCAAAAAGAGGCCTGATGACCACTTGGCTCCTATGGTATAATGGGGATTTCCTCATGTGTGGGTTGGAGTAAACAGCTGCTGAAGTCCCTTCCCACCCCCAAGTTCATTAGTTCTGTGACTGCTTAACTGAGTCTCTCACCAAGCTTCCTTGCTTCTCGTAATTTTGAGATAATACTGCTTATAAATCTTCTGTTAGATAGAATGACAAGTGTACAAAAATGTATGTGTATGTGTGTATTTATACATGTATATGTGTGTGTGTGTGTATATATACATATACATATACATATATATATACATATACATATACATATGCATATATATATATATATATATATATATACTTTTCCATATAACAGAATATACAGACACACAATCTTCTCTGTAACTTTTGGTTGTGCTATCTGTTCTCTTGGCAAATATTTGTGGCTGAGATAGTTTTTAGACTCTTCCAGTTATGTCACTTGATTTATATTAGTTAAACCTCTTTAGGAAGTTGTAATAAGTTTTTATTAGGGAATGAGTATATAGAGAAAAATGGTATCTTTAAAAATAATGTTTTTCACATCTATTCTTGATATGACATTTTCACTGATAAAAGATGTATTTTGTTCTGTTATAGTCCTTTATTATAAATAATATTTATCATCTGACTTACTTTTGGCTTCTTTCTGTATTGGTTTATAATCCCAAAGACTATTGAACACAATTGATGTAAGTCTAACCCAAGTTCTTTAAAGACAGTAAGTGCAAGTACAAAGAGGTCAGGGCAGAAAGTTGTTCCTAAACTGTCATAGCATATTGATTAAATGCTTGTGTTAAGTAAACCAGAAGCATCCATTCTGAAAATGAAATATAGACATGGATATATAGTAAGTATAGGGAATATCATGGTAAATGTTTGGGTTTTCTTTTTTTTAAGTACTGAAATGTATACTGAACTTTCTCATTACTGTGGGTACTTCCTTCATTGGTGCAGTTTGCAGCCCCTCAGTCCACTCCCTTCCAAAAGTACTCCATAGAAGATCTACCCAATGCCTTGGAAATTTTCACTTAGGGTCTTCAAATGTTTTGGGTACCATCATAGCGTTCTATGTGTTATTCTTCTTTCTTGCTACATAACTGGCCCAACTCCTTTTCCAATTATATATTTCCCAAATGTCTTTTATACGACTTTTATATAATGAGTATTCTTTGATAATATGCTAATACCTGCTTATGTTTACCATGAGAAAGTACTATACTACAATTATTTTTTCAATACAGTCTTTAAAAGAAGCTGTATTTTGAGTGAGTAATGAAATTTTATGGTTAGACTTTTTTTCTCAGTGAGTTTTGATAAGTATCACATCGCTGCTTTGCTTAGATTGCAATCTTTTCATGGCTTCAACACAAAATTTTATTGTAGCAATTGTTTATTAAAATATTCCATTTTGCCCTAAAGCACTTTCTGATCATAAATATTCAACTGTCTTTATCCTCATTCCTAGGAGCACTTGGAACAAATATAAACTTTTTGAAATCACAAAAGGTGTCCCAACCTGTTGTTGAGGTGGAAGAAGCCACTGGCAAGGTGTACCTCTGCAAGAGCAGTGGGACTTCTGTGATAAGCGGAGACAGTTTAGAAACAAATGGTAAGATAGAAGTTTTGGGGGGTTTTTTGGAGAGCGGGGGGTGGACAGAGTTTGTAGGAATGGGGTTTGAGATTAGTTGATTAACTACAGTTATTAAAACTGTATTTACATTTTGAAGAATGGCTGGATCTGGGAATATTTTGGAACCTCTTCCCTTGGAGGGCTTTAATTGAATGAGCTATTTGCCTAAAATAATTTAGTAAACTTCCTTGAAGCTTTAGATGACCTCTATGGAGTCCTTATGCCCCAATATGTGATTTATAAATTTCTCGTCTATGATATGGTGAGAGGGAGATAGATAGTAGAGAAGAGAAAATTAGGTAAAAAGAGTTTTGGTTATTTTTACAGTTTTTATAACTTTTTACATGGGTATGTTTATTATTGAAACAAATTTACTAAAACTTTTTGTGCATTGTTAAACATTTCTTTCTAATTTAGATTCAGTTGTTGCTTCTGGGCCTAATCTTGCCATTTTGGGATTGGATACATTAGAAGAACAAGAAGAAAAGGAAAGATTTTTTGCCATACTTGAAAAAGGCCTAACATCAACCATTGATTATTCGAAATTAAATAAGGAATTGGATTCTAATGAGTCTACAAAATTAAAAGATTTCCTCAGGTAATGTCAAATTATGTCCAACAAGGAAATTTAAATGTACAGTTTTTACAGTGTATTACTGAGGACATATATATACATTGAAGAGGCCAACGTTTTGCTCACATTTGAAAAACAGAAATTAGATCATTACTCAATTCTTTGCTCAATATGTGAAGGACTAGTCTTGTCTGTAACTAGAGTAGAAAGTTGCCTATGTTGCATCATTGGAGAAGCATTAGAAAGGCTGTCCTGCTCTAGCTACTTCTCCAGCTCATCCAGAATTCCACTGGCTAAAGTGGAGTTTTCCATTCCTTTGAGTAAAGTATTCTTCATACCAAAGTACTCTTTATTTGAAGAAAATAGAGTAGAGTGTGACATTAAATCACTAAAACATTATTGTGAATTAGTTTATTGGACTCACTTTCCATGGTGAGAGGCAACATGGAGTTCCTGGGTGTCATTATAACAATCCAAAAAGAAGACAGAAAAAGAAAGTGGTATTTAAGGTGTGGAATATAATAAATGATGGTTTGTGTACTGCTAACCGCTCAGAGGATATTGAAAAAAGATTTTCAGGAAAGCAAGAAAACAGTTTTAGAGGAGGTGCCATCATTTAGTTCAGTAACTAATTTTGATGAAATTTAACTGTGTCATAATGTATTGGAAATCATTTATCTGAACATCTGTCATTCTCAGTTTTATAAGAAAGAAGCAAATGATTCAAAATCAAGATAATTTGTAGGAACTTTAAAAAATGTACATATACTTCAGATTGTAGGATATACATCTCCTGAAGTTAATACCTACATAGTTCATTGTTTTATATCATCTGTAAATTGAAAAGGCAGTTTGGTATCATGCATAGAGTTCTGGACCTGTTGAGAATCTCAGGAAGACCTAGCTTCAGATTCCATTTCAGATACTTCTCACTAGAAGTTGTTTTTTTCTACTTTATAGGTTTATCAAAGGCCATGGTGCCATTGAAATCTTATGCTCCTTTTGGCATATTTACTATATATCTATCCTAGAAAAATCAGGCACCAGCATTAAATTTGTTAAAATTTCAGGTATGTTACATTAGTACTATGAGAAATACTGATATTGCCAGGAATTCAAGTCCAGGGTACAGTCAATGAAAATACAGACAATAGTTAATGTAGTAAATAATGAACACCATATATAACTCAGTTTTTAATAAACTGGAAATGAAATGTTCTTGCCAAGTACTCATAAAGATGTATACACTATATAAGTACCAAGAACTCTGGTTTTTATTGTAATATCTCCCTTCAGATAACTTTTTTCTATCAAAAATAGAAATTTAATTTTGTTTAGGATTGAAAGAATAGAAAATAATGTCATTATATATCAGAACACACTGTTATAGCTACAAGATAAAAACATAGTGCTTTTAACCTAAATAAGAAGAGATGTAACATTGCTATATGTTTTTTGTTTTTTGTTTTTTTTTTTAAAACAAAATTGAAGAGATGGCCAGAAAAATATAAATCCTCACCAAAATATGACCATTTTATTTTTTTCCCCGACATTATAAAATTGTGGCAGGGATGACAAAATGAATGAAGGAAAATTAGTATAGAGATGGTAAGATCTTAGAAGAGATAGTAAGAAACAGGAGACTGGCTGTACTGTCCTTTGACTGTAATGAGTGATTCTGGTTCAGATTATGTTGATATCGCCACCACCTTCCTGCTTGCCTGGGGTCCTACATCCTGGGAAATGAGACTCTCCATGGACTTGAGAAAGACAGAATTGATTGGCTGTCATAAACAAAAGTGACATGCTGTTTCATGAGGTGCATTATATTTGATATGATTAGGGCCTGCCTAAAATCCTTTTGCGCTTTTAATGGATCTGTGATTTTTGGCCCATGTTTAGCTTCCACCCTAGGATGAACTTGACATCTAATATGTAACCCTGGGTATTCCCCGGGCCCTTTGCTCTTCTTCCTCCATACTATTTCACTTGGTGATCTCATCATCTTTCATAGATTCAATTGTCATTTCTGTGCTGATGATACTCAGATCTGCTTATCTAGCCCTAACCTCTCAGCTGACCTCCAGCTGCCTATTAAGTATCACTAATTGCGTGTCCTATAGACATCTTAAACTCCACATATCTGAAACTGAATTCATTATCTTTCCTCCCAAAACCTCATGCCTCTCAGACTTCCCCATTGCTGTCAATGGCACCAGCATCCTCTCAGTCTTCCAAACCCCGTGTCACCTTCAATACCACACTTTCTCTGAACCCCCCCGCCATATCCAGTCTATTGGCAAAGCTTGTTGATTTTGCCTTCGTAACATCTCTCGTAAAGGCCCACTTCTGTCCTCTGATACTGCCACTCCTCTGGTGCAGGTCCTTATCACTTTACTTCTGGACAATAGCCTACTAGTGAGTCAGCCTGCCTCAAGTTTCTCCCCATTCCAGGCCATCCTCCATTTGTCTGTCAGAATGATCTTCCTTAAGTGCAGGCCTGACCATGTAACACCATCTGCTCAGTAACTCCAGTATTTCCCCATATGGGGCAGTAAGATGGCACCAAGCCAGGAGTCAGGAAGATCTGAGTTCAAGTGTGATCTCAGACAGTTACTAGCTATGTGAACTTGGGCAAGTCATTTAACCCTCTTTGCTTCAGTTCCTCATCTATAAAATGAGCTGGATAAGGAAATGGCAAACCATTCAAATATCTTTGCCAAGAAAACCCCAAGTGGGGTCACAGAGTCAGACACGACTGAAAACGGCTAAACAACAAATTTCCCTGTAACTTCTAGAATCAAATATCAAATCTTTTATTTGATGTTCAAAGCCTTTCATAACCTGACCCCCCTCCTACCTTTCCAGTTTTTTCACACCTTTCACACACATACCTCTCACATACTCTTAGATATAATAACACTGGCCTCCTTAGTCTTCCTCAAACAAGACACTCTATCTCCCGGCATTTTCAGTGGCTGTCTGTCCCCCATGCCTGGAATGCTGTCCCTCCTCAACTCGGTCTTCTGGATTTCATGGCTTTTTTCAAGTCCTAACCAAAATCCCAACTTCTACAGGAAGTCTTTTACAATCCCTCCTAATTATAGTGCCCTCCCTCTGTTCATTATTTCTTATTTGTGCTGTATATAGCTTGTTTCTAACTAGTTGTTTGTATGTTGCCTCCCCCATTATATTGTGAGCTTCTTGAAGGTAAGGACCGTCTTTTTCCTTTCTTTGTATTCTCAGTGCTTAGCACAAGGCCTGACACATAGTAGGCATTTAATAAATATTCATTGACTGACTGATATCTGTCCTCCTTATTCACCAAATATCTATTAAGCACTTTCACTGTCCTAAGTATTGATTGGAGTTCTAAGGTTCCAAATATTTATGACTGTTCCTTGATTTTTCTTGGGTTGGCCTTTCCTGAAATTGATGCAGATAATTACAAAATTCTGTATTAGTTAGAGATCCATTGTATCTCCTTACTGGAGGCAGTTACTATTTATTCCTGCGCTTTTATTGATAGATGAAGTTTTTTAAAAAGCATTTAGAGGGGAGACTCCTCCTTGGTTCTCTTTGTATCTGTTTGACCATTCCTCAGTGTCCTTTGCTGTACGTGGTTTCTGCAGTGAACTAATACCACCTCTTAAAATCCTTAGCTTCCTTCAGAACTCATCTCAAGTTCCACCTCCCCTAAGGGGCCTGATCCTCCCCAATCTCTGGCACCTTCCTCTTGTCTCCCCCCTTAGAATGAAGCTCCTTGAGGACAGGGACTGTTTCTGTTTAAAAAAAACAACCAAACAAACCCTTTTTTTGTCTTTGTATTCCCACTGTTTAGTCCATAGTAAGCATTTAATAAATAATTGATGATTCTCTCCCTGTTCTAAAACATTCTCCACCAGTCTCCAAAGCTGTAGCTTCTGTTTTAATGCAAGAATGCTTAGGGAAATTAATGGTTTTAGAGGTAACATAAATATGCCTAGAATTTTGCCTTGATAACAGTATAGTTCAAATGTAATCCTAATTAACATAAATATTTTATATAGAAATAAAACCAAAATGGAATCAACTGAAGATGAAAATGAGGATGATTCTAAACATGAGGAAATAGCAGGTAATTCCATGTTGGTCTTAAAGCAATATTGTTAAAGATGTAATATCAGCTACATTTTGCAGTTAACAGAAAGAGACATTTTGAGGTGAGAGTACCATCAGTTAAAAGGAAAATCAGTGTAGTTTTGTGGAAGAAGCTTTGAATTGTCAGGGAGGTGGGTTGGGTTACAGTTATGGCTGCTAACAAACTGTTACACAAATCATTTAAAATACCCAATACTGCAGTCTCATCTCACCAGTGGACAAACTAACACTGAAAAATTAGTTACCTTATTGCTACAAAATAGATACTCGAGTCTGCTCAGGCAATTCAGTACGCAAAAGGGCACAGCTGTCAGACAGTAAGTAGCACAACTGGCAAAATGTGTAGGTAGGCAAGCAAGAGACACCTCCATAATTGAAGGATGAGATGATTCCAACAAAACAAGTATCTAGCACTAGACACCAAGTAACTCCTGAAACAGAAGCAAAATTCTGGTCTCGCCAGTAGTTTTTGTACCCTTTTTCTAGGATAACAGCCAATCTTAGGGCAAAATTAATCCAGTGCCCACAGGGTGAATGAGTGTACCTATTTGGAAAGGGAGAGGGAAGAGAAGTGGGAGCTAAAGACAGATCCTAAATGAAGCCTTGGCCACTGTGATTCTATGTTTTTTTTTTCTTGAACCATAAGCAATATAATATCTTCCCTAAGTATAACATCACATTTTAAACTTCTTGTTTTGGGGGATTTCAGTCCCAGATTTTTATTTTATTCATATAGGGAACTCTGCTGAAGAAAATCCCTCTACCACTATGCTATGCTGCCTCTCATATAAAAGAATTCTATTTAAAAGAAAATAGTATTAAATCATTTTGGTTAAATTTTCAGAGTTCAATTCCTATTTGGGTCTTTATTAATTTACCTTCTTGTGCTCACTAAAATATAAACTGTTATCCAAATTAGAACTATAATAATTTATTCCAACATAAACCATTGAAGAGTTATATTTTTTTTTAAAAAGATTTTCACTGTTTATTTTCTGTCAGTATATTTCAAGTATTACAAGATTTGTTCAGAGTTAATTTTCAGGTAACTTTTCTAAAAGAAGAAAGAGGTCTTCAAAGAGGACCCTTTAGATGTTTACTCATTATACTGCTTTTTCATAAAGTACTATTACTTTTATGTATATATATATATATATAGCCTTCACCCAAAAATTTTAATTCAGCCTCCTACTCCTGAAGTAATGTTCTGATAATGGGGCAGCTAAGTGGCGCAGTGGATAGAGCAGCGGCCATGGATTCAGGAGGACCTGAGTTCACATTTGGCCTTAGACACATAACACTTACTAGCTGTGTGACCCTGGGCAAGTCACTTAACCCCATTGCCTAACCAAAAAAATAACAATAATAATAATAATGTTCTGATAGGTGAGAGCTAAACCTTAATTTCTAGCATCTGTAACAGTTTATTTTAATTGTTAACAACTGAGAAAGGCATTTTTTTCCATATTTGGGGTGACCTTGCTTACTTACCAGTAAGATTTTTCTCCAAAGGTTCCTAACAGCCGTTATATATTCCCTCTCTTCTGTCTTCTTCCTCAAGAGGAGTTATATTTTATCCTAGAGGCAAGAGGGAGTCACTGGAGAAAGGGACATGGTCAGATGTGGACTTCAGGTGTATCACTTTGGCAATTATGTGAAAGGTGTGTTAGAAAGGAAGACACTAGACACAGGGAGACCAAATAGGAGGCTATGTCAGTAGCACAACAGATGATGCTTATGAGTGAAGAGAAGGGGAGAGATGGCAAAAGGTAATTGCAGAGGTAGAATGGACAAAACTTGATATAAAGGATGAGGAAAAGGGAAAAGGCTGTGACTGCCTTTGTGAACCTAGGTGACTGAAAGGGTGGTGGTACCCTAACCAGAAATAAGGAAGTTAGGAAGAGGTGAGAGTTTAGAAAGAAAGTATGGAAAGAAAGATTTAAAAACTGAAAAACTATTGAAAGTATCTAAACTTTCGTTTTAAATCCCAAAATACCAAAAATAGTTGTGAGAGTTGAGACATTCCCATTAGGACAAATTTAATCTAAATTACCTTCATGTTGGCTTTGGAAGAAATCATGATTAATTGTGCTTCATTTTATTTGGAAGCCCACATAACATTTTACTGGAATTTAAAATTTTTGAAGTATTTGCCTTCTGTGTGTGTTTTTCTTTTTCCTTCAGAAAATTACAGTGATGATTTTGAAGATGAGGGAGACGCTGATGTATTGTCACCTACCGAAAAGGAAGAAAATCAAAACAAGCAAAATCCCAAATCTTTAGAAGAGATAAATGCTCCAGCCAAGGTATGCCTCTGTTGAATATTTAATAGTTGGGAATCTTGCCTTTGAGTTTTAGAATGTTGAAATGTTCTTATCCTTAGCTCCCCAAGTCAGTTCATGGTTCTTTAATACCCAGAAAACATCTTCAGAAATTTAGAATGAAGTTATTACTAAGTATCTGTGATTTCATCAGCATAAGGAATTTACTTGATGGAAACTCCCCAGAAGACAGATCTAACTTTTAGTGGCTGAGTTGATAGTTCTAAGTAAGTTTACACTGTTAATAACTATCAAAGGTAGACTTGAACCCAGGTCATCCAGACTCAAGAACCGTACCCCCTCAAATACCTCTTCAGATTCTAAAGTTAAGCTTGTGTAATTGAAAATGTTAAGAGTAGGGAATGGAGAAAAGGAAGGAGGTAGAGAATTTGGAACTGAAAATAAAGGTGAATTTCATAAAAAAAATGTAAATAAAATTTATATTGCCAATCTACTAAAAGCATATAATTTTTTTTGCAAAGCCAGTCAGTCCTTTTAGAATACAGAAACAAATTCCTCCCTCGCCCCTTCTTCCTAGCCCCAGGTATTTATAGTGGTAAGGAAAAGGGCATACTGGAATATGTTTGGCAAAAGCAATGGGTTAAGTTCTTCTCATTACCCAAAGGAGGGCCCTGATGATACTTCTCTTACCCCACCTCTCTCATCTACCTCCAGTTCTCCTCAGTAGCTGATAAGGTGAAGCAATGATTATTAAGCTATTACTTGATGTTTATGTTCCAAATTTTGTTTTAGGTAACAAATGTTACTGTGGTAATAATAATAGATTGAATTTGTATCTAGCACTTTAAGGATTAAAAAATGTGTTCCCAGTAATAATAGTTCTATGAAACAAGTACTACAAATAATCATCTTCTTGTTGTCCCCATTTTGAGTTGAGCAAACTGAGGCTTGGAGGGATTGAGTGATTTACGAGGAGTTACATAGTAAGTATGAACTCTGGATTTGAACCAAGGATTCTTTATGTAAATTCCGTACTCTTTCCACTACATCACTTTACATGCATAGGAAAAGCCCTGTTCCACTGCATTTTGTGGCTGCATTCTGGAAATTTTGCAAAGGAGTTTTTTCACATGCCTGTGAAGAGCAAGGACACTTCCCCCCCTGATCGTCCCTCACCCCCTCAGTTTGTTTCCTTTTCTGTAAAATTAGGATAATTCTTGTGCTTATCCATTATGAGGATCAATTAAGTTATGTAGGTAAAGCACTTTAAAATGATAAAATACTCTAAAAATGTAAGTTATTCTAAATGATACCTTCCATATGCAGAATATAAAACTTGTTCAGAAGCAATGATAATTCTCAGGAGAGATTTCAACTCTGACCTTTCCTAATTCTACTCATTGTAGAACATCTGATCTCCTTGTTAATAGCCTCACCTTTCAGAAGGTAGAGAAAATAACTAAAGGAATTAGTATTCTGGACTCAGTTCTTACCTGCAATAATTTATAAAGAATTTGACTAGGTGGTTTCATGGATAGAGCACTGAATTTGGAGTCAAAGAACCTGAGTTCCAATCCTGGCACTGTCAATAATTACCTGTTTAACTTTAGTCAAGTCACATAAAGGTCTGTGAGCTTTCTTCTTCTATAAAATGAGACCCTCGGACTACTTTACATCTAAAGTACCCTCCAGCTCTAAATTTTTACTCCCATATGTGGCAACAGGAATCTGAGAAAATAACTCTCTTATCTTGGTTTACAATAGAAAAGAAATGAAATCCTCTGAATTGTCACACAGGTACCCTGGATTTAATAAAGCTGACATTGTAAATGTCAAAGCATAAATGAATGAAATAATTTTAACTGAGAACTCAGCATGAAGAATGAGAGATTCTGTAGCATTAAATCTTAACTATGTAAAAGTATAGGAGTTCAATGAGAAAGAACAGTGGGAGACATCAAAAGGAACCAAAGTTGTTGTACGGGGGTAACTTCAAAGTAGAAAATAAGAGGGTCAAAATATGAAAAAAGGAATACAATCAAGAACAAGTACAAGAGAATATCATTAACCTCTAAGAATGATTCTAGGAAGGCAAAAAATCACAATGAATGAGATTTGTGAAAAAAGCTAAAAGTAACAAATGTATTTTTTCTGTGTGGAGTGTGTTTCCCACATAGGTAAGAATAAGGCCACTGCTTAGGGAAGGTAGTTTTTGTTTTGTAATTAGAATTTTTTTTCCAGTTAGCAAGCATTTATTTTCTCTCCCACTTCCTCCCTCTTCTGCTGAAAAAAAAAAAAAAGGAAAGGAAGACTCTTGTTACAAATATGCATAGTCAGGTCCAAATTTTTTCCTTATTGGTCATGGTGAAAAATGTGTATCTCGTTCTGCATGTTTAGACCATCACCTCTCAAGAGATAAGGTACCATTCATTCATCCTCTAAAATGATGGTTAGTCATTGTGTTGATCAGAGTCCGTAAGTTTTTCAAAGTTAGTTGTTATAATGTTTAGTCCTTATATAAGTTATTTTGGTTCTGCTCACTTCATTCTGCATCAGTTCATATGAGTCCTCTCATGCATCTTTGAATCTGACCCTTTCATCATTTCTTACAGTGCAGTAATATTCCTTTACATCGTATGCCATACTTTGTTCAGTCATTCTCCAATTGACGGATACCTCCTTAGTTTCTAGTTCTTTGCCACTACAAAAAGAACTGCCATATAAATATTTTTGTACATATGGATCCTTTTTAAAAAATTTGGGAGTATAAGCCTAGTATTGTTATCTCTGGGTCAAAAGCTATTCGCAGTTTACGAATTTTTTGTTTATAATTCCAAATTGCTTTCCAGAATGCCTTTACCAGTTCGCAACTTTGTCAACAATACATTACTGCTCCTGTTTGCCTGAAGCTTTTAGGGAAGATAAATTGACAAACTACATAGCCTTATCTTTTAGGTCCCACCCGTGGAGGTTTTTCTTTGGTAAGGGAGAAGAGAAAGCCAGGGACCTTCCTGCTGGCAGAAGGCTTTTTTCCCTGCATTCAAGCTCAAGTGACCCTCTATTTGACTGGAGACATATTACCCAAGTGCCTTTGACTCTAACCTTGAAGCAAAGAGGCTAATGGGAAAGAGTCAGTAGAGAAAGTCTGGCCAACATCAATTGGGAAACAAGTTATGATATGTGAATGTGATGGAATACTATTGTGCTGTAGGAAATGATGAAGGGGATGGTTCCAGAAAATCTGGCAAGATTGATATGAATTGATGCTAAGTAAAGTGAGTAAAACCAGGAGAGCAATCTACACAGTAATTGCAGTAGTATAAAGATAATCAACTGTGAAATACCTAGTAACTCCAATCAGTACAATGATTCACCACAACTCCAAAGGACTTATCATATAAAATGCTATCCACCTCCAGACTCGGAGTGCAGAATGAAAATTATATTTTCCTCTATTTTTCTTTCTTTTTACTGGAAGATATGGTTAATGCAGAAATATGTTTTCATGACTTCATATGCATGACAGATATCCTATTTCTTCCCTTCTCAATAAGTATGCGAGGGGCTGAAGGGAGAAAATGTGGAACTAAAAATAAAAGTTAAATTTAAAAAAAAAAAGGTATGCGCAGACCAGAAGCAAAAGGTTGTCCAATGCAAAAGATGCTAGTGTAGGGCCATTGGCTATAATAAGTCCCAAGCCACCCATTGTAAAAAGGCGAGAAAGCTGTAGAGCATATAATTACTAGTCTTAAAGTTTACTAAATGAATCATCCTTGCTTTCTCAGTGGCTAATTCCCATTCATAGGGACCATCCAGGAATCAAGCATTTGAGAGTTTTCTTTTTAGCATGTGCCAACATGCTGGCCCATCCTCATACATGTTCCATAAGTTCCCAGTTCAAATCAAGGAGGCTCCATACATGTCCCCAGTTCAAATCAAGGAGGCTCCCCTGATTATCATCATCACATATATAAAGTGCTTTACAAATGTAAAAATGCTATATACTTGTCAATTTATTATAATAGTTGGAATGAAAAAGGTAATAATTTCACTATGTTCTGGATTGGTCCCTCTACATATATAGTATCCTCTTCAGCTTTTGCACATCAAATTCTTTTAGGAGAAACTAACAGAGGAAGGTTCAAAGCAAGGTGACCACAGTGGTAAAATCACTGCAGTTTGTATCCTGTGAAAAATGCTTGAAAAAAAAAAGATTTATTTTTCCTGAAGAAGATGAAAGGAAGAAATGAATGTTGTTTTCAATTATTTGAAGGGCTGTCATAAAGAAGAGGGAAACAGATTGGTTCTGTATTGTTTGATAAATCTGATTATCATTGAGTAGAAAGGATAGAAAGAAATTTTGATACAACATAAGGAAAAACTTTTCTATTATGATTTAGAGTGGAATGCTCTATCCCAGAAGATAATGAATACCCTTTCACTGAAGGTAATGTCATCTGTCAACTATGATGTAAGTAGGGAGGCTTTCTCAGTGGGAAGCTAGACTAAAATAGACTTCTAAGGTCCTTTCCTACTTTCTGTGATACTTGGCTATGATATAACATCCTGTGCCTTTTTTTTTTCAGTATAAGAAAGTAAAAAGAATACTTAATTTTGCAAGCCAAGAGAAATGGGTTCTAGTCCGGCTCTTTTACTAACTTATTGAATGACTATGGACAAATGACTTCTTTACTTTGTGCTTCACTTTCCTCATCTGAAAATGACAGTATTGGAGGCAACTAGGTGGTGCTGTGATTAGAGTTCTGGCCTTGGAGTCAGGAGGACCTGAGTTCAAATTCAGCCTCAGACACTTAACACTTACTACCTGTGTGACCCTGGGCAAGTCACTTAACCCCAAAAAAGAAAAAAAAAGAGAGTATTGGACTAGATCTGAATGTCAATGATTCATCATGCAAGCCTTATAATTTTCTGGTCTCTTTAGTATATAGCCTGCTAGTCTAACTAGAATACAACCATATTCAAATTGAGGTAACTATATTTTAGATGCTTTTATTCCTTTGGGCTCTATTCATGCCTTTTATATGGTACTAGTCTAGTTTATATATTGAAGAGGAAAATATTTAAAGTATTTTTAACTGTTATAGCATTCCTGTGACAATAGGAATTCTGAATCAATAGGAATAATCTAAAAAGTAGAAAAAAGGTTTTCCAAGTTGTTCAGGTTTTGATATGAATGTTAGTAATTTTATGCTAGTTTTTAAGTTTACATTTTTAATTTGCAATTTTAATTTACACTTTTTCACTTTTAACTTAGAAAGAAGAGAAAACTGGCATGCTAGCCAATGGTGAGTAGCTTTTATGTTCTAAGGTTATAACTGGGCAATAAGATTTGGCCGAGCTACAAATAAAACATCCTAGAAAAACTAGTATTCTAATGCAAGGAATAAGATTCTGCACATCTTATCAATAATATATTCCTTACAGCTAACTCAAATCTTATCAATGTAATTTTAAAATAATTTCCAATTTATTATTTTCTTAATAGAAAGATAAGAGTGGATCATTATTTTCCCCTCATTCCTAAAATATAAATATATATAACCATGTCATTTGTTAGATATATTATGTATATTTAATCTGTCTATAAGCATTTTCATTCTATTTAGTATGTACCGAATATGTGACCCAAATGCTCTTATTCTAGAGAACCACAAATTGACCTCTTTATTTCATTTTTCCTTCATATATTCTTTTAGTCATGCTGCTGGATTCATTAGATTCAGTTGCAGAAGTGGAACTGGATTCTCAAGATAAAACAACAACCAAATTACAAGCACAGCCAGAAGTTACTGATAATGAAATGACCAGGACAGGTAACAATGTTTTTTAAATTGTCTGCTCTCTAAATGTACACCTTTTTAAAAATTGCCATTTTGTGATTGCAGCTTCATATCTCGAAAAATATTACTCTAATGACTTTACCTTTAAGGATTTGGTAAGAAATCTGTAGATTTAAGCATTTCAACCATTTAAGTCATAGCTATGGTTTAATTGTGACAAGGAAATCCTAATTTGCATAATAATGGATATTATTTGAGTCATTAAAATTCTTGACATTGACTTGAGATTGTTTTCTTTGTATGTTGTAGCTCTTCTACCAGTTTAGTGTTTTAGGGAAGAGAAGTAGAATGATACATTTCTTCATTATACCTCAGGATCATCAGATTTAAAACTTAAAGGCATACTAGAAAATACTCAGTGAACATCCGAATTTTTTAGATGAGAAAACTGGGGTTCAGAGAAGTTAATGAATTTAATGTGATATTAAAGTTAATGTCATATCCTAGGAGATATGACAGAGACTGCTGAAGATAACTATATCAGATCAAATCTAAAAGAATACAGTCCGCAGCGGGGAAAGCCTTCCAGGCATGGACAGCTGGAGGAAATGCCCAGAGCTGGAAAATGAAGTATCTTGTTTGTAGGAACTACAGTGCCACTGGACTGAAGAATAAGTGGACAGAGTTGGGGTGGGGGTAATTAAGATGTAAGAAGACTGGCAAGGTAGGAAGTAGCTAGGTGAAGAAGGACTTTGAAAGTCAAATAGAATTTTTATACTTGATTTTGGAAGTCATAGGGGAACCATTGGAATTTACTGAATTGGGTTGGGGATTTAAGGTGGGGTAGAGAGCAGATAGGGTTAGATAGGGAAGATCAGTTTGATATTGATTCAGCTAAATGGAGGCTGGACTGGAGTGGGAAAAAACCTGAGGTGAGAAGACCAACCAGCAAGCTTTTGCAATAGTCTATGCTAACGGTGATGAGGGCCTTCACCAGAGTGGTAGTAGTTCTAGATGAAAGAAGGGGAGTAGACACAAGAGATAGAAACAAAAGAACTTGACCACTGATCTGACATATGGAGGGTGAGAGAATGAGGAGTTTAAGGTGATGCCTAGATTGTGAGCCAGGGTGATTGAGAAGGATGGTAGTACCCTTAACAGTAGTAGAGAAGTTAGGAGGAAGGGAGAGTTTGGGGAGAAGACTATTAGTTCAGTTTTGAACACTTTGAGTTGTAAGATGTATATGAAACCTCCAGTATAAGATATCTAAAAGGTGGTTGGGGAATATGATAACTCTAGCATATGATAAACAAGAAAAGTACAGCACTCCCATCAACTTTCTTGGTTCCCTCTTGAGAGAAGGCAGACTGCTGAAAGAAAAAGGAAAATACTCTCCAAAGGGAAAGGGAGTAAGGGAGAACTGGGTGATATTTACCTTTATACACATGGCCTCAGTATATTTTTTTTCATCTGATGTAACAGCTTGACTAGATTCAATTCAGCAAATATTTATTTTTAATTTTTTTCAATTATCAAACATTTTTTTCTCTCCCTCCTCTTCTGTCCCTGAAGAAAAGGAAGTATTTCCATATTAGCCATGTCCAAAAATGCTACATATTCCAGCAGCTCTCATCACCAAGCATTTACTAAGCACCTACTGTATGCATGACCCTCGCGATAAAAAGAAAAAATAGTCTTGCTTCTATGTGTATACAGCTAAGTAAATATCAAGAATGTATATATATATATATTATATATATACATATATGTATATATGTAATGATTGTGTGTGTGTGTGTATATATATGTCTACACACACACACACACACACACACATGCGCGTGCGCGCACACACAAAATTATTTCAATAAAGAGAGACTGCCAAGAACTGCAGGGATCAGAAAAGGCCTTATGATAGATAGTGGTGTTTGAGCTAGAATAGATTCATGATAGTACTATCTTTGAAATATGGGCCTGTTGCCTTTGTCTAAGATTATGGCTGCAGAAACTAATTGCTGACTTTAGTTCTTTTCACAATAAGAGCGCATTAATTCAGGCCTCTGCATAAGGGTTTGGCCAGTGTTTACAGGATATATGAGGCAGCATGTTATGGTGGAAAGAACACTGGATTTGGAGTCAGGAGAGACCTCGGTTCAACTCTTGATTCCAGAACTTTCTACTGATATGACTTTGGACAAATCACTTCACCTTTCCAACTTTCAATATTTTCTCTGTGAAATGGGGATAATATCTCCTTAGATTATTTTGAGAATTGATTGATTTAATATACTTAAAGTGAATGTTTTATAAATCTTAAAACACTATATAAATGTCAGCTGTTACTACTATTATTTTGTTATTATTTCTATTATCATCAACACTACTACCAACATTCTATCATATAGTAAGAGTCATGCCAGTACATTTGTTTGTTCTCTCTCTACTTGCTATAGAGAGGTTAGTATGTTTACCAGCAACATATATTGGCTCTCTAAAGATGGACTGCATTCCTAAGGTAACAGATTCATAGATTGGAAGAACCTCAGGGCACCATCTAATGTAATCCACTCTTTACAGATGTCTGAAACCCAGAGGAAACTGAGGTCCAAGGAGGTGACATTTCCCAAGGTCACACTGTAGGTCACCAGTCCAGGATTTGAACCCATATCATATAAATCCAGTATTTCTACTCTACTGTGGAAGCTTGCTCCTAAGATTTAACATTTATGTTAGAAGACAGAGAAGCCCTTTTGAAACACATATTTTAAATTTAATATGGAACTGTGAGCACTGAACATGGAGTCATGGGAACTGAGTTTGAATCATGCCTGCCACTGATTTATTAGTGTGACTTTAAGCAAGTGACTTAATCTCTCTGGGCTTCAGTTTCTTCATCCATAAAATAAGGTGGTTAGCCTAGATGAGCTCAAGGTTCCACTTTGACCTTAAGATCCCTATGATAAGTATTACATAAATTATAAATCTCTGACTTAGGATAGTTTCTTCCCACTCAGGGCTTCTCTGAACAGCAACCAGGCTGTCAAGAGCTAACAGTACCATTTGTTGATAATCATGAAGAACTGTGTGATCCCGTTCTCTTCTCTGGTGCCTGCTTTCTTCCCTTAGTCTGGAAGGCTGTATTTGTTTTATTTCTTCTACTCTCAGTCTTTTACTATTTATACTAATTCCACCTCAGGCAGTCTCTCCCATGTCCACATTTTTTTTAGCCCTTCTGCCTTACATCTTCCAACATTTACCCATGTACCACTAGAAAAAAAAATTATCTCTATGTTATTTGTGAGCCAAGAATGACCTTTATTGTAGCTGATAAGCTTAAGAGTAGTGTTTATGATACATTTAAATTGAGAGGTTTGTAAGTAAAATTAAACACACATACCACCTACCTTATTTTCCAAAGATAGCATTTTGTTTTCTGCCCCTTTTCCTTTGCATAGGCCTAGAACATATTCCTTCCTCTCTTCTACCTCTTGAAATTCCTGGCTGTAATCAAAACTCACATCACTTGCTGCTTCCTGCATGATACCTTTCTTGGATTCTGATTGCAGCATTCAACTGAAACTGCTCTCTCCAAAGTTAACAGTAATCTCTTACTTGCCACTTGGTGTTTTCTCAGCCTTTGTTCTCTGCAGCTTTTCACACTATTGATCACCCTCTCATCCTAGATAGTCTCTCCTCTCTAGGTTTTCATGACTACTCTCTTCCGGTTTTTCTCCTCCTCACTCTCTTTGGCTGCCCGTCTCATTGACAAACCATGGGTGTCTTCCAAGACTGTTCAGGGCCCTCTTTTCCCTTTGTACTGTTTTCCTTGGTCATCTTTTGAGCTTCCATTGGTTTAACAATCATCTCTATGCATGTAATTCCCAGATATATATAAATCCAATCCTAAACTCTCCTGAGCTCCAGTGTTCCATCACCATCTTCCTGTTGGACATCTTGAACTAGATAGACATCTCAAACAAAATCTGTCCAAAATAGAACTCATTACTTTCCTTCCAAACCCTCTCTTCTTCCTTATTTCTCTGTTATTGTTAAGGGCACCACCATCTTCCCAGTCATTAGGCTTGAAACCTGGGTGTCACACTCAACTTCACCGTAACACTCATCTCACATATCTGGTCTGTCACCGAGTCTTGTCATTTCTGTCTTTACAACATCTCTTGTATATGTTCTGTTCTCTCTACTCACACAGCAGGCAGTCTGATATAGGCCCTCCTCCTCACCTCACATCTGGACTATTGGCATAGTCTTCTGGTTGGTGTCCCTGCCTCAAGTCTCCCCCTGCTCTAATCCATTCTCTACTCAACTATTGAACTGATCTTCCTAAAACGCAGGTCTGACCACACATATCACTTCCCTATTCCATAAATTCCAGTGGCTCTCTATTCCCCAGAAGACTCAAATAGAAAATCTTCTGTTTGGCTTTTAAATTTAATAACCTGGCTCCTTCTTACCTTGGCAGTCTTCTTACTTTTTACCCTCCTCTGTGTACTCTACAGTTTAGTTAAAGATGCCTTGTTGTTCCTCACACAAGATCCCCCCAAGAGTCCTGACACCTTTGCCTGTTCTCTGCCATCCCCTGTGCTTAGAATGTTCTCTCCCTTCAGCTCTTAACTCTCAGCTTCCTTGGGATATATATAAGCTCCTCCAATAGAACATAAGCTCCTTATGAGAGGGACTGTTCTCATTTTTATGTTTGTATCACCAGTGCCTAGAAAATTTTAAGAGTGAATGCTCTCATATACTGTGATATATTTTGGATTTTTATTGGCACATTTTAGATTTAATAAATGCTTCTTGAATTGAATTGAAAGTAACATTCAGAAACTCCATAAAGTCATCACCTACCCCCTTGAAGTAGACCTGTACAAAACTTAATGACACGTCTTTATTGAACTCCCAACAGATATCGAGTAATGATGTTCTGTTTATAATAAATTTCGTGAAATTATATCAAAATTATATTTCCACCAGGTATGTCTTACGGACAAAGCAACAGTGACCTGGAAGCACTGCATCAGGCCTATCATCATATTGATCAGTCTTTGGGAGACACAGATGAACACAAAATTGAGAGTAGCAAGAGCTTACTGCAGGATGTTCCTCAGGAAACGGATGAGTGCTCAAAAAACATCTCTACTCCTGAATCTGGTAAAATGCTAATAACTGTGACATGATTATTGCTTTGTTTGGTGAAACAGCAACCACCGATAGAAGTGTTCTTACTTATGTTCCTAGGATATAGAAATATAACTTTAAGCAGCAGTAGCTCTGTGTTGTTATAGGATACTTTTGGATGATGTTTAATGTAATTTACATTCACTGTATTAATAGTAAAATGTGTGTCTTTTATTGTGTCTATCCTCATTTTAAGGATTAACTCAAAAACAATACTAGGCATCATAGATTTAGCTAAAGTTACAACCATTAATAGGGTTTCAATTTCCCAAAATACATCTTGAACAATAAGAAAATTTAAATGTTTAAAATATTTTATTGATTTAATGAAATTACATCATTTACATACTTTTAACCTATGATAATAGAGCAGCTGGGTGGTATAGTGGATAGAGCACTGAGCCCAAAGTAAAGAAGATTCATCTTCCTGAGTTGAAATCTGGCCTAAGATACTTACTTAGCTGTGTGATCCTGGGCAAGTCACTTAACCTCTTTTCCTCATCTGTAAAATGAGCTGGAGAACGAAATGGCAAACCCTAAATGGGGGTCACAGAGAGTCAGACATGATTGAAAAACGACTTAGCAGCAGCACCTGTAGAGGGTCAGTGTATATTTGGATCAGTATACAGAACTGGCTTTCATTTATAGTCAAAGAAGGCACTGCTTATGGTGTAAAAAGACATCCCTCTCTGTAGTTGAAGGATATTGCTAACAAACCATTTGAAGAAAATGTAATTTTGATTCTAATTTTCTCTTAGAACTGATTTTTATTTTTAGCAATTCATATAATTCTTTTATTCCCCTAGACCTGCATACTGTAGAGGAGTTGATGAAGCCTATTAGAATGGATTCATTACATGGCAACTGTTTTGGTGGGCAGCCTGTCAGGTAGCTATTTCTTTGTATATGTTCTATTTTTTAAATAGAGGCCATGGACAATTTTAAAGCAATTTACTCTGATCAAAAATATTTCTGTTTACTTATTATTTTATACTAGTATTATCAAGTTCAAAATAAGTTACATTTTTATGTGCTCTGACTTCGTGGGATTGATCCTTACTGGATAAGCATCAAAATTTCTGATAATTATATATATCCCAATTTCTGCCTAGTTATTAATTGCCTAAATCAGGTCAAGAATAAGTACTAGTATATTTAATTGGGATATCCATAACATGTCTGATTATGACCAAATTTCTGAATATTTTCTAAATGTTATTTTACCTATATTTTAAATTTTGATTACTCACTTCAGTGTCATATTGGGTTAAAGCTTTTTGAAATGTATAAATAATTATGGTTCAAAACCATAGTAGGTTTTTTTAGAGGAGAATGCTGTCATATACTGTGATGAACTTAAATTTTTTGTAACTGCTGTAATTTTGATCTATCAGTCAACAAATGTTTATTAAATTTCTACTTTGTGCCCTGCACTAGGCTAGGCACACAGAAAACAAGGACAAAGAAAAAAACAATATCTATTCATGAGGAGTTTGTATTCTAATGAAGGAGATAACAAGTGCATATGAAACTATATGGAACACACAAATATAAGAATATATAGAATAAAGTTAAGAAATAAAAACAAAGAAACACAAAGTAGTTAAATACAAGGTAGTTTGGGAGGGAGGGTGCTAGCAGTTGGGGAGATCAATAAAGACTTCATGCCACAAATGGTGCCTCGACTGCATCTTAATTGAAGAGAGAGACTGTCTGAGGGCCAGATAATAGGGTGGTACATTCCATGCATGTGGAATGGCCACTGCAAAGGCAGAGATATAAAATATAGAATGTTATGAATGAAGAACAAAGAAAAGGCCATTTTAGTTGAGTTTCAATGTGTAAGAGGGGAGTAATGTTCAATTTGGCTGGAAAAGTAAGTTGGGGCTAGATTGTATAGGGCTTTAAAAGTTAAACAGTGGAAATTATATTCTATTCTAGAGGTAATAGGAAGCTACTGAGGTTGGTTAAGTGGGAGAGTGACATGGTCAGTTCTACACTTAAAGTTACTTTGGCAGTGTAGTCTAGAATAGATTGGAGTGGTGAGTGACTTGAGACATGAAGACCAATAAGAAGTTGCAATCATCTGGGCAAGAGGTCATGAAGGAATGAGCTAAAGTGTAGTTGTGTCGAGTGGAAAGAAGGGCCCAAATGCAGGAGATGTTGTAAAGGCAGGAAGGGCAAAATTTGGTGCCTAACTGATTCTGTGGGGTGAGGGGTCAGACATGATGTTGGGATTATGAACCATGGACTGGAGGGATGGTGGTACCTGTAACAGAAATAGGGAAGTTTTGAAGAGGGGAGTTATTAATGGCAAGGAAAAAGTTCAGTTTTAGACACATTGAGCTTGTTATCTCCATGACATCCAGCTTGAAATGTCTAATCAGCAATTGGTGATACAGAATGAAGCTTAGGGGTGAGACTGGGACTACATATGTGTTTATGGGAGTCATCTACTTAGAGATGATAGTTAAACCCATGGGAGCTAATGAGTTACTGAGAGAGAAGAGTATAGAGAAGAGAAGAGGGCACAGGACAGGACATTGTGGAATATTCAGTTAGAGACCATGATATGAATAATAATGAGTAAAGGAGACTAAGAAGGAGTGAGTAGACAGGTGGTGAACTAGAAGAAAGTAATGTCACAATAAAAATCATAATTTCTTGTTCTATTTGATACAATTATCTACTTGAATTTTGAAGGAAGGAAACTAAATAGTATGGATGTAGGATATGTGTATGTTTTACATAAAAATAATATAAATCTTGTTAACTTTGTCATGGTTAAAAAATATTAAAATAAAAATATTTCTTTATACTGTAATGCCTAGTACATAGCTGGTGGGTTAAAAGATGTTTGTTGAATAGAAGAATATAAAGACTGAATGAATAAACACAATTACATGATAGTATCTAAATACACTAAAAAAATTCAGAAGTAATAAAGTTAAAAGATTTGTGCCAACAAATCTTGGAAGGGTCAATAAAAAATAACATTTGCTGCATTCTCTGCATCTTTTTATAGCACGAAAAAACTGATTGATAGCAAGACAACTGAATTTGTTAGTCCTCTGCCTCTTAAGAAACAACCTCCTGTAATGTCTCATGAGCAGCAGCAGCAGCAGCAGCATTTGGATCAGTTTTTTGAAAAGAATGAGAAGAATACTTTTTTGCAAAAGACTACAAACAAAATTAGCGAAAGTAGTTTGCCAAGAGTGACTCCGACTGAAGAACATCTAGATAAAATGCACCTTGATCTTTTAAGAAAAAAACTATCCCAAGATTCTTCACCTTTATTTCATGATAATAAAATTAATCAAGTAAGTATTATTTCAGATTATTAAAATTTTAATCTGATAAATTATAGGTGTTACAAGTAATACATATTATCTTAATTAATTGCAATACATGTTGTCCTGGAAAAAACACTGACTGTGGAGACCGAAAGACTGGATTTGCATCCCAGCTGTGCTGCTGATTACTTCCGTGATGTGTATGACATTAGACAGGTCATCTAGCACCTCTAGTTTTAACCTAGTTCCCTCATCTGTAAAGTGAATGTTTTGGCTTAAATAGCTTCTGAGGTCCTTTCCAGTTCTGAAATCCTCTGATCCTGTAGAAATAGCTGATGACACTTGATTGAAAGATGTGAAGAACCACCAATCTTTACCTGTAACAAATAATGAATTTATTAGAAAATAAGCTTGTTGAGCTAAAAATTAGGTCCCTTATATTAGAGTTTAGCAGAATTTTCTAATGTGTAGTATCGCTATGACTATACCATTGCTTACTATGTGCCGAAAATATACTGCGTACTTGAGAAAATTGGACATAGAATTTGAGTAGTAAACAAAATTGGATTTAATAGTCATTCTTATTCTATATTTGTAAAACCCAAACCCTATTTTTGCTCCTGTTTTGCATCTTTTCTGCTGTGGACCCCCATTTAGATTTTATAAAGTATGAATAATTATGTTACCATCATGGCTTATTTGCTCCTGTCAAGGTTTGCAGACTATATTAAAAGAGCATTTCATAGACGTATCAATGAATAGGCTGAACAAGGGGAGAAAAGGTATTTAGTTGGGTTAAAGATAAGTCTGCCCCACTTTCTACATGCTATTCGTATTGTTTGGTCAGTGAAGATAATGTTTTCTATGAAAGGCTTTAATGTGCTGATTTTGTAGATATGGGTAAGATTGTAAAAGATTCAGTAAGGTACATGGAGAGCCCTTTGTTGTCCTTGCCTGGCCGTCTTCTCTTAAAAATGAATCTTTCAATGATCATTGCAACTTACCCACGTTTTTACTTTATTTACTCCTGTAGTTAAATTCCAGATACTTACGTAATATGTGCTCCTCTCAAATCCTTATTCTGTACAGGCCATCAGACCTCAGTTTCCTCAGCTGAGCTCCGGAGAGGATGCTATCAGTCCTATTATCAATAAACAGGCAACATCCAAGAAGACAAGAAGTACACCTCCTTTACTTAAGAGAAAATCACAGAGTGGACCCTATGCATCTGTGAGAAGCTCGGGATATGGAAAATCATATTCACCATTAAAAGCTTTTTCTACTGTTGAAAAGAAAACATCAAAGGACATTATGAAAAAGGAAAACTTAAAATCCAAATCCCCTCCATATAAAATCAGGCAAAAAGGTAATTAGTTATGATACTTTAATAATTTGTACTTTCAGACTTCTGTTACAGCTCAAAGTACAAAAAAACCATTTTCTATTTAGTTCATATTTCTTATAATTGTGTACTAAATTATAAATCAACTAGTGAGCATTTGTTAAATGTCTGCTTGTGCCAGACACCGTACAAGCACTACAATGCTAAGTTTATTATTATGTTCATTATTATTGTGAGTTGCAGTTTATTCAACAAGACTCGGGCCTCTCTCACTTAATTTACAGTGCTCTATATTTTCCACCATGTTTTTTGGTTATACTACACTACTAAGACAAAAATAAAACAGTCCTTACCCACAAAGAGCTTACATTTCTATCAGGAGAGACAATATACACATTAAACAGTACATAATAAAATACAAGGTTGTTTTGGAAGGAGGAGGCAATGGAAATTGGGAGTCAGGAAGGCTTCATGCAGGAGGGAGAGCTTGAGCTGAGTCTTGAAAACTGTAAGGGATTCTAAGAGGGAGAGGAGAGGACAGGGTGCAAAACTTGAGATGAAGCACCTCTCTTGTCTTGTAAGGGATAGCACAAAGGCTGATTTGCCTGGGATTACAGAGTGCAGAAAGGGGAGTGATGTCTAATGCAACTGGAAAAGATCTTTTGAGGCCAGGTAATGAGGGGCTTTAAAAGCTTACTAGAGGAGTTTATATTTTATCCTACAGGCAACATGGAGCCACTGGACTTCACTGAGTCCCATGATAACATGGTCAGATCTGCGCTTTACAGAAATCCTTTTGGTAGTTCTGTAGAGATACTCTGGGGAGGAGAGAATTGAGACAGAGAGACCAATTGCAGTGGTATAGATGAGAGGTGATAAGGGCCCAAACTAGCAGGAAGGATATGTTGATAAAGAGAAGGAGTCAGAAATGAGAGGTATCTCATCTTCCTGAGTTCAAATTTGGCTTCAAATACTTACTAGCTCTGTGACCCTAGGCAAGACACTTAACCTCTGTTTGCCTCACTTACCTCATCTGTCGAATGGAGATAATAACAGCCCCTATCTCCCAGACTTGTGCAGATCAAATAAGATAATATTTATAAAATATTATATTTTATATACTTACAGAGTTAGTCAGAGTATGAGGCAGAATTGGAACGTTGTTCTAACTTACCGAGGCAGAATTGGAACTTACTTCTAACTTGCCTGGCCCATAGTAGGCACTTAACAAATGCTTATTCCTTTTCCCACCCTTCCCATCTGTTGCCTACCAGTTCTTTTCTTGAAGAAAGTATTCATGACATAAAGGTATGAGGCTGCAGTTTATTCATTTATTCGATAAGACTTGGGCCTCTCACTTCATTTACACTGATCCATATTTTCCAACACGTTTTTCATTGTCCTTGTCTATTCTTGTCTTTGCATTGAAGTCCCAGAGTGTCATAGCATATGTTCATGTAATTTGGAAGTCTTGTCGAGGTCCTCATAGAATTTCTCTACTTTTTCATCTCTTCCGAGAGAAGCTGAAACATAAATTGAAATTATTTTCATGGTTTTGGTTTTTCTTTTTTGCAAGTTGTTATCATGATCACTGCAATATGAGAAAACCAGATATCCCATGAGATGTTTTGTTTTGTTTTTTTTGTTACCTTTGGCTGCATACTAAAACCAACTAGGCAAAATTATGAGCCATATTTGCATTTAATTAAAACTGCCTTCTAGTTTTGTTTATAATAAGATTATTTAGACTGACACGATTCAGTTCCTCCAATACTAGTAGTAATAATAGTTAACCTTTATGTAGTACTTTAAAGTTTGAAAAGCACTTTTCATGTTTTCTCATTTAATCCTCACTACAACCCTGTGAGGTCAGTCCTTTTTTTAATCCCCATTTTACACTTGAGGAAATTGAAATTGAAGCCTAGAGAGATAAAGTGACTCACCTAAAGTTTTACAGCTAGTAAATTAGGTAGAATTCGAACTCGGGGCTTCCTGAATCCAAATCTATCCACTGTACCATTTAGCTGTCTAGTAAGTCCACTTCTTAATCATTGGATAATTGGTATTTGTAGTACCAATGGTATTTATAGTACCAATGACCAAATTAGTCTAAAAATTGTATGATTCCAGGTACTCTCTGGTCTCTTATCCACTATTCTCCTATTATCAGTGGAGAATGGGAATTGCACAATACTGAGGGTAATTTTGTATTTTTCTTTGTTTCATCGGTTGCCACGAACAAAGAATTTGTCACCAAGTGTCCACTCTACTGGCAGTGAGCTTCTTGTACTTTAGAAAAGATGGTACCCCAAAAGTAGCCTCAAGTCTACTTTTGGAACAATACCTGAAGCCTTTCCAGCAAGCTTGAGCTTTGCTGGCACAATATTTGTGAACCAGGGTCACCTCCACACCATGATGAGGCATTGGAGTAAGAACCAGTAGAGATATATGTACATATTAATTGTTTAATCTATCCTCGCTTTTATAGTCCACGTTGTGTCTTATTTTTTTGTTTGTTTATGATGTTCAAGAGAAATCATATTTCTGGAAACCATGTATTTCAAGAATTAGTTCAATCTGCTTAGAGAATTAGAATTTGTTGAAACATCAGAGATTTTGAAATACGAATTTCCCTCTCCCCCCCAAAAAAAAGTTAACTGCACATGACATCAGTACTTAAAACATTTAACCTGTGTCACCAGTTTCAACCTGTATCAAAATCTTATTAATTCACAGTGGGAAGATATTTTTATCCTTGGTTCCTTATACTTGGTAACAATGTGACTAAGTGCTTTTTTTTTCTTTTGCAAAATTTAGGAAACTTATTTGCAACAAAACTAATAAGATCTGGAGCTGCAGGTAAACAAGTAACCAAAACTGAAAGTTGCCTAACCACTCCTAATAAATCACTTGCTAATGACCCTCAGCATCAAGTTCCACCAGAAGTAGACTCCCAAGTGCTGTGTCAGTATGTAAGTCATAACACTTTTGCAGTCTTAAAAAACTATTAAAATAGAATAAATGCCAAGAGTGACTGAAAAATAATTATTTAGCATTTGTTTTAAAGTGAAAAATTATTCATTGTTGTTTTTATGCTCATTATTTGTATTCAAACCATTTATGTAAATCTACCATAATAAATTTTTTTTTTTTCTAAATAGGATTCCATCCTATTCCCTGTGGGAAACCAAGAGAGAGAATTGTATTGGCTAAAAAGGGTTCAAGATGCAGAAGAAAAGTGGAGTGGAGCTCAAGCCATAATTGAACAAATTAAAGCTACCTTCTCAGAGAAAGAGAAAGAACTTGAAAATAAGATGGAAGAAATAAAGAAACAACAGGAAAAAGAACTTTTTAGAGTGAATCAAGATAATTATATACTTCAAGCCAAGGTGTTATAGCAATTGGCCTATTTTTTCCCTGTCAGTTACGCAATGTACTCCCTTCTATTTCTATCCTTGTCCTTTTCTGATTAGTATTGCTTGATATATAGTAAGTTTTCCACATAAAACTTGGATGAATATCCTAAGGAACTTCCCCTTGTTAGAGAGTCCAAATTGGCTCAACTCTGATGGTATCCTACTTGTTAGTAGTAGAATTAATCCTCGTTAACTAGAAAACATAATTTCTGTCTCCTTTATGACTAGCTGTCAAGTCTGACAAACTAGTCTGATTAATTTTGTTATTTTACAATTCAGTGGAATTGGTTCCCACATGAGGTAGGGAGCCCAAGGTACCTTAGGGCCTAAAAATCAGTTTTTTATTTAGTCAAAACCATTTCATTAATGAATATACACAGTAAGGACTCTTCATTCAGGCCAATGATAGTGCATTTTAATTTGGATTGCCAGATTAACCCCCCATAATTGGAGTGGGGTTTAGGGAAGGTTTAATGGGAATCCTTTATACCGTCTGAATAGTGTAAGGTTAGCTGATTTTCTCCTGTCTTCTATAAAATCTTAATATATTTTTCTGTACCCATTTTCATTTTAAAAACTTTATGCAGAAAGTGCAAAAGTTATTCAAGGAAATGTTGTGAATCTAATACTTAATAATAAATATTTAACATATATATACACATATGTACATATATATGTGTGTGTATATAGATATATAGATATTTATATATACACACATACATATATGGATGTATATGTAGATATATTTCTGTTAGGGCAGAATATATGCCAGTTAGGGCACTGGACTTGCAATCAGGAAGACCGAAGTTAAAATCTAGCCTCAGTAATTTACTAGCATTGTAACCCTAGGCAAGTCACTTAAACTCTTTATGCCTTGATCTCCTCATCTTTAAAATGGGAGAAATAGTACCTACATTGCAGAATTGTTGAGATAACACACATAAGGTACTTTGTAATCTTTAAAGTGCTCTGTAAATTCGAGCTACCTTCTATAACCCTAACAGAGTATTAGAATTGCCAGAAATGCTTTGATATAACATTGTCTTATCAGTAACATGGTTTAATGACCTGGACTCCAAATATTGTAAAGTCAGAACTTTGCTTTTTATTGTTGTTATTCAGTCATTTCAGTTGTGTCCAACTCTTCTGACCGCATTTGGGGTTCTCATGGCAAAGATACTAGAGTAGTTTGCCATTTCTTTTCTCCAGCTCATTTTACAGGTGAGGAAACTGAGGCAGAATTAAGTGACTTTCAGAGAGTCACACAGCTAGCAAATGCCTGAGCCTGGTTTTGTACTCAGAGGTCTTTCTGACTCCAGGCCCAGCGCTCTATCCACTGTGCCACCTAGCTGCTTTTTGCTAGACATCATTACAATGCTTACTGAACAAATTACAACTGAGTGCCTTAAACATAGTAGATGTTTAATATACATTTATTGATTGAATCAATGAATAAGTGTACTCTTCAAAAGAAAGTCATACAAGTTAGGGGAGAACTGAGAAAGAGGTTCCACATAAGAACATACATAACATTTTAGAATTAATTTCACAAAGTGACATAAGACAATGTATTATTGTTTTAGTTGTGGCAAAATCCCAGTGTGATAAGATAATACAAATAACTTAAAGGCCAGTGCAAGATTACTGTACTTTTTCTCTATTTCTCTTCTCCTTTTCAGTCATCTCCCCCAAATTTAACAAGTTTTGTGCTTTTTTTTCAAAGTTGAATAGCTTTGAAGAGACAAACAAAAAGCTAAAATGGTTTAACACTGGAGAAACAGCTGGGCCCATCTCTGAAGAAAAATTAAAGCAAATCCAGAAAGAAATCCAAGAACAGGAGACCCTTCTTCAAGGATATCAGCAAGTATGGCACTTCTTATGATGGTGGATTTCTCTTCTCATCTTTTGTTAAAATGAAGTATCTTAAAATATGTATGTTACTTTGCAAAAGTTTGAATGGTCTCAATGGCTCCAGTATAAATCATTTTTAAATATTTCTTAGAAACTATTGTGGGAAGGAGACATTTTAGCTTTCTGAAGTACTTTCAGAAGGATGTTGTTTAATGCTTGAGTTTTTGCAATGAAATATGATTTTAATCAATTCAGTTACCAGTATATGTTTCATTGTAAGGATAAAAATCATTGGATTTTATGTGCAACTAAATGGCCACTTAGGCATCTGATGATTGACATTTTGCCAGTTCCAGATGTTTTTTTTTTCTTTTTTTTCTTCTTGCTTTCTTTTATTCTCTCATTCCTTATCTTTTCCTCTATTTTTCTCCCTGGCTATGCATGAAACCTGCCAGAGATGCTAAGTCACATAGTAATGCCTACACAGTAGTACCTCTGTAATAACATTTGTCCCATGGTGACTATACTCTTTATTGCAACAGAAATGGATTTAACTATACAAGATATACCCCTAAAGCTAGTAAATTCTGTTTAGGCACTATGCCCTCAGGTAGATGGTAATATAGTCATGTAGACTCATTGTTTAAATGCTCTTCTCCAGGCATTTAGCACATGATGAGGCCAACTGGGCTTTTACTATATAAAACCATAATTATTTATTAAAGTTAAATTAGTAATATTTATTAAATTCTAGTTACTGTTATATAGTAACATTAAGAAAAAATACAATCTGAAGATCAAAGAAATATATTTCTTAGGCACTTGTGTATTCTGTATTTCCTACTTGTAACATACTAGACTCACTCAAAGCCTGCTGCCACTTCTGATACCACTTTTTCATCCCGAGCTTGTTCTTTCCCTCTTTACTTGTATCACAAATCTTTCCTGTAACTAAGACTCTTAATTTTAAAGCTGGAAGGTACTTTAAACATCCTCTAGCCTAATTTCCTCATTTGCAAATAAGAAAACAGTGAGCCAGGGAAGTAATCCTAATTTTTCCCAAGGTCACAAAGCTAGTAAGTGAGGGAACCAAGACTTAAACTTGATTTAAGAAAAACTCTGTGACACAGTTCTTTAACTTCAGAAGTATTAGTCAGATCTTCATACTAAGCCTAATTACTATCTTGCAAGTTTTTATTCCTTGACTGAGCTTCCAGAAGTGGTCCTCCAGCTATGATTTTTCTTCTTTCAGGCTATAAACAGAAAACATCATGGGGGGAAAAATATCAGATTTAGATTTGTCCTGGGTACTCTTATCCCCAGCTCTTTGATTATCTCTTCTAGTTGAAATAAAAATACAGGTGTCAGTCTCCGGCTCATCTTCCTTTGAAGTTCACGAGTCCAAGAACTCCTTTGCTTTAAATGCTAATAATTTTACTTTCATTAGAGCCTTCACTTCTGGATTATTTCCAATTAGCTTTCTACTGTGAACAAATGCTGATTTTTTTTTTATACAAACTATTATTAAAGTCACTAAAACATTCTGCTGAATTCAAGTGTAGTGTAATGGAAGAAGCATTAGACTCGAATCTGAAGACTGGGATTCAAGTTCTAGCTGTCCCATTAATTCTGAGGGATCGTTCAAGTCACATAAGCTCATTGGGCGTCAGTTTCCTCATCCACAAAATGAAGGAGGATTGTCCTAGATGACTATTCTGTGACATTCCGTGATGACAGAGGCAGCATGGATTAATAGAAAGAATGACTTGAAGTCACGAACCTTGAATTTGAATCCCACTTCAGATGCCTTTGTAACCAACTTAAACCCTCTGAGCCTCCCCTGTGAAGTTTTCAGTCATCTTATCTGTGAAGTGGAGATAATTCTCAGATTACCTCTAAGGGCTGGTGTGTAGATATTGCTTTGTCAAATTCAGAGATATATAAATGTGAATCACCATCATCATCTTTTGAACCAGATACACAAATCTTCACTCGTAATGACCTATAAACACAGAGCAACATTGAGAAGCTCTATCCTTTATCATTAACCACTTTGTTTCATTTTCTCTCCTATCTACACTTACACACAAAATCTCATAAATGGCATATTCAAACATTTTTCAAATAATAAAATGGGAAAACTGAATAGTGGTAAATGGATTATCTCCCTAGACACCCTTTAGACAGTTGTAGAACTTCTCTTCAGACTTAGCTTTACTTTTTCTTGGTTTGAGAGAAGTGAATCTCCATTATTTAGGCAGTATGACATAGGGGATAGAGAGCCAGCCTCAGTCAGCAGGACTTAAGTTCAATTTGACACAAACTAGCTTGTGATACTGGGCAAGTCGTTTAACTTCTTAGTGCCCCAGCTTACTCTATAAGACTATACATTGCAGAGCAGATGCTGATGGGCATTCTTCTCTAGAGTGTTCTGCTGTATCAGTGAAATCACAGGTCCAATTAAAAAGCAAAACTCCAGGTTCCAAAATTTTAACGTGTGGTTCTGAGATTTTAAAATATATGTTTATGTTTATTCAAAGAATGGCACAATCACTATTAATAAAATAGAAAAAACCTTTAAGTTTAAAGAAATACGTTGTGGTATATAGCCTCTGTCATTGCAGTTGGATTTTAAGCAACATATAATTTTTTTTTTATCTTTTTAAAAAGGAAAATGAAAGATTATATAAACAAGTAAAAGAGCTTCAAGTACAAAATAAGAAAAATGAAGAAAGACTATTTAAAGAAAATCAGTGCTTATTGACTGAATTGGCTTCCTTAAAGTAAGTATTTCATAAATTCTTAGACTCCTATTAGAATTTTACTAATCCGTTTAATGCTAAATGAAACTGTTTTCTAAATATTAATACTTAATTCATTTTGCCTGTAGTATTTTAAAGTTTAGAACTCTATTGTTTTACTATAGCATATTAATATTTGAGTTTGTACTTATTCCTGAGAAGCAATGTTATTAATCCTGAAATGATTTCTTGATTAATTTCTAAAAACCATTAATTATCAGTTTATTCAGACTTAATTAGCTTTTTGAAAGGGATAATATCTATGTTAGTATAGTTGATATAGTGGATGCACTTGGTACAAAATGTCTCCTTCTCTGTGACATGTTCTCCCACAAGTATATATAGAGGCGGGGGAGAAAGTGGTCCCAAGCTTAGAGAACACATGTAGCAAAGAGGGGTAACTTGGCTTCTAAAAGGCCTTTTGCTAGAATCTTCAGGATGTTCCTCTTAAGTATAGTATAATTACAGTTTTCTTAGGACCTTTTTGTAGAGAACATGAATCAGCCATCTCACTTGTCCTTAGATCCCAGCTCAGACATTGCCAAGAGCTGTGCCTTCTCATGTGTTTAGCTGGAATACTCTCTTCTATATCTACTTTCTGGAAATTCTCCAGTTCTGAATCCCTCATTTTTTATAAGTTCCAAAGGTATTACTAAGTTTCCTCAGCCAATCAAAACAGACTTCTGTCTGGTATCATTTCACTTCCTGCAGTGGCTTTCAGAGACATTTTAAAATGATCAGAGATTTTTCACACTTAGTCTAAAGTCTTGGATAGATGGATAGAAACATGTTCTCATCAAGCTTGACCTCTTAACACTTAACTTTAAGTAGGATGAAGAGTTTTAATTATTTACTCAATCCAGCCTTGCCCTTCCATATATAATCTGCTTCTCATATTTTGAATTAATATTTTGGGTTGTAATTTCTTTGAGATTATCAGTTTATCTCAACTTTAACCTTTTGAGCAAAGGCAAAGAAGCAGTCTCTCTGTATATTAGCATCCAAAGCACCATCTTTCTTCTAGACGTGAGTGCTCATCAGAAATTGTTATTTGTAATTATATGTCCACCTGTATAACCACGCTGCCTCTCAACATCAGTATCTATGACCAATAAATACATTAGTTATCTAATATTCACATAAGTTTCCCAACCTATGTCAATTAATATTTGGAAGGGCAGTTAGAGGAATTTTTAGGGTAAAGGCTTCCCTCTTTTGACAAAGAAACTCTAGAAGCCCCTGGGACCAGTGTTTCTGGAAGCCTAGAAGGTTATGAATTCTCTAGAGGCCTGGTAAGATCAATATTAAAGTACTTTTCTTTATTCATTCAGCAGTCATTCACCTCTTCAACTATTCTTACTAGTCCACATCAGCCCTTCGTGAGCTGATGGGAGACGGCAGAATTTTTAGTCACGTTTACTTTTCAAAATAGGGAAAGAAAAAAAGAAGACATGTCATAGTGGAAACATTTGAGTAAATATGATATAGCCCTTTAGCTCAATCTCTTTATCAATTATCCTAAACTGCCCCAGAATGAGAGCTATATTTATTGTCATAGTGTTAGGATCTGCTTAATTCTAATGCTGGAGAATAGCTATTCTTTCTATTCTTTTAGATGGATACTATTTCATTTTATCTTTGTGTCCTGTCTTATAATTTTTTAATGTTAACCATCTCATTCTTTTGGAAATAAGCTGGCTAAAATTCTAAATTTAAAAACAAGGAAACTAGAGGAATAAAGCATTCTGATAAATTGGGTATTCTAATTATCTGAGATTTGCCATTATAAACCATATAAACCATTATAAAATACATGGATTATCAGTTTTAAAATAATCAAAATACAATAAGAAGCTTAATATTTAAATTTACTTAATTTAATCTTATGTTTCATGAAGTACTTTAATATATTACAATTCATATAATTTGTTGATGTATTCATCTCATGAATATTAGTCATTCTACCGTAATATAAATATAAACAGTACGCTACATAGAACTGAATCTTTAATAATCCCAGGATGTCACTTGGGTGTTTCTTTTTAAAAACAAAGCCTTGTTAGCAGGTTATTTATTATATGTATCTTATAAAAATGAAATGCAGAATATATTATTTTTAATCCTTTCTGGTTTTTTTGGAATCCAGGGTAATCTCTTTTTCTTTCATTCCATAAATATGTATGTCTAGATTAGTACCAATATATGCTCACAGTGTAACTGAGACAAAGGGCTAGTTAATAATGGAGATCTTATTAAAATAAATTCTGGCTACACAGATAATATTTACAAAAGTATATAAAAAGCTTTCTAGTAATTTTGAAAACATAAAAGTCAAGACATTCCCCTTAAAAGGTGAAATTGCTTTAATATCTTAACATTAGTTTATGTCTTATTAGTTCTGAACTGAGATTCTTTTTTTGAGTTTTTCACTATTCATAATTTTCTTGCTAAATAAAAAACTTTGTCTAAGAATGAAACAATAGTGGTTTTTAAAAAAATATTAAAATTATGTATTTTCAAATTAAATTAGAGAACAGCTGAATAAAAGTAGTTTCCCATCTCAAGTAGTTCAAGATTCAGAGCCAAACAAAAACCAAAGTTTTACAGAATTGCTGGCAGAACTTCGAACAACACTGGTAAGTAGCCTGAGAATTATTCCAATTACAAATAGTCAAGACTGCATTAAAAATTCACACTAGATCTGCTATAGTTGAAACTAAAGGTGCAAAACCTTTGAGTTTTATATCCTCAACAGGATATAAAAAAAAATATTGAAAAATGAAGGGGGCCTAGCATTACAAGATTTCATCCTCTGTTATAAAGATAAAAATTATTTGATACTGTGTAAAAAAAACTAGAAAAGTAAATCAATAGAATAATCCAGATTAGCAAGACCCAGAAGCAAACACAATAGCCCAATGTTCAGTAAACTGAAGAACATGAATTACTGAGGGAAGGACATCCCATTTCACAAGAACTACTGGGAAAACTGGAGAGGAGTTTGGCTAAAAATGCATTTCATTTAGCATCTTACACGGTATGTCACAACTAATTTCAGATGGATAAGTGGCCTAAACAAAAACTGTCATCATTAAAAACATCATTTTAAAAAAAATTAAAGAGAATGGAAGAAGGGACTTTTCAGCTCTGTGGTTAGGGGGAGGATTCAAAAAAAAAAATTGGAGAGAAATGAGACTCTATAGTCTCTCTGTTTTCTATAAAACAAAAGAGAACAATTAAGTTATATAAAATTAAAAGACTTTTACTAGATCACAATGCAACCCTAGAATAGCAGGAAAAACTACTAATTAAAGAAAAAAATCTGTCTATATCAGATAAATGACTGGTATCTATAGTTAGAAATTAACTCAAAATTTTAAGACCAAGAGCTGTAAGCGATCAAAACACATGAACAGTTTTTAAAATGATAAATGTAAATGATCAGCAACCATATGAAAAATTCTTCATATTACTAATAATAAAATTAAGATAGAAACAATTCTGAGGTTTTTACTTCATACTCCTCAATTTGGCAAGGATGATATACAACACAGAAATAGTCAATATCAGAGTGACTTTGTGAAGATAAGCACATTAAATCCACTGTCAGTAGATATGTGAACTGGTTCAACTCTTCTAGGAAATATTTTGGAATTCTGTAAGAAAAGTCACTTATCTGTTAGACATTTGATCCAGTGATCTCATTATTGGGCATATAACCTCATGTATATGAAGATGTTCGTAGGAGAACTTCTGTGTATTCTGGTAGTGAAAAAAATAGGTTTCCATCAATTGGGGAATGACTCAACAAATTGTGACTCTTAGATGTTATTATGGAATATTATTATATGGCAAGTAATAATGAATGTGAAGGAATCAATAGAAATATAGAAAGACTAATGAACTGATGCCGAGCAAAGAAAGTATCACTGGGAATATAATATGCATAATGATTACATGAATGTAAATGAAAACAACAAGCAGCAAAATTCAGATTAATTGCAATGACCATTCTTCATCTCAGAAAACATAACAAAACACGCTTTCAGCCTCTCAATAGAGAATTGGGAGACAGTGAGTGTGGAATGCTGCAAACATTATCAGTTAATATTGCATTGTTGGGTGGGTTTTGCTTAGGTGTTTGCTTTAGGTTATTGGCAGGGGCAGGGGGACAAGTAAGAATGCATTGAGAAATGACAATGGTGTAAAAAACAAATCCGTCAACAAAATTTGTTGAAATAAAACATTTACACTGTATACAAAAGTAGTTCATAGTCATGAAATGTAGTGTTACCATTTTGAATTCATGGAATGTGAAAAATCAAGGACTTAGAAAATTTTTTATGCTAGTTTGAAGCAATAGGATAATACTTTATATCACGTTATATAGTTATATCAGATTTTTTTCTATATATAGAAGTTATATTTTGGTAGACAAGGCTTACAGTGCATGTTTATCTCAAGGAAATCTAATCTCTGGCAATTGAGATTTTACCACACACAAAAAAGGAACTGACACAGTGATCCTGCTTTGCAAAAGTGCATTCAAGGCACCATGAAGTTCATTAAAACAGTCTTACCTAGCGTGTTTTTATGGTTGTAAGTTAAATAAAACTTAGAAAAATGTGGATTTATATGCAACTTTTTAGTAATATGTATATTATCAATAAAGTGTTTTAAATCCTCAAAGCCTCTATAAATGTTAGCTATTATTATTGTTACATATAGCATGGCACTATTGTATCTTGTTTTATGTATGAGTGCTTACATGTGAATGCTATGCTTGTTTTTTTTTTTTTAATGTCCAGATCTGTGATTTCATTGATAGAAGGAGCAGCAAAGCAAACATCTTCTCCCAATGCAACTCAGTCATTATACTGCACTTTTAGTTTTACATAGAGTTAAGTGGGGGCTGCAGGTGGAGTATAAGTGAATTGTTTCATCAGGCAGCCAGTTTGTATCAGAGGCAAGACTTGAACCGAGATCTTTCTGATTTTGATGGCAGTTCTAAGCCACGCTAATGAACTTATAGAATTCCTATGTAAGAAGATAGAGATATATCATTTCATATATGGATAAATCAGGTCTAGAAAAACCAAATATAAGAAAACCCTATTTATATAGAGATTGTGTTGCTGTCTTTCTCACAAATAAGTCCTAACAGTTAAAGGGGAATTTAGCAAAAATGGCTGTTATCTCCAAGTACAGTATAACACCTACAGCAGAGGTTCAGCAAGCTTTTTAAAGTATAAACTCCAGTTCTGGTTTTTTATGTGTCACTATGGGAAAGAGATGGTGCTGAGATAGTACTCCAACCACCAACTCAGAAATAGAGCAAGGAAGGTCCTTGCCTACCCCCATTTTTTATGGTGTGTTCATGTTTCTTCCCTACTTCATAGACAGTGAAGAGTGGCATGACAGCAGCAGGTCAACTGTCCTGCCATTCATTACCGCCACCTGACTTAGGCCTTTTTTCTAAGAAACTGATTAGAGATTCATGGTCACCATTACCGAGTGATATCATTGTTTCTGTACTTTAAAAAACTATATATTACTGAAGAAAGGTATGTAAGAAATGTAAGTTTCTTACTCTCCTTTTATACACAATACTCTCCTAGAGGGGCCTGCACTCAGAAGTCTGTGTAATACAGATGGTCCAGTTAAAACAAAGATCAGGAGATTATTGGATTTAGAGCTAGAAGAAAGAACCCTAGTCCAATCACCTCATCTTAGAGATAAGGGAAATGAGGTTAAGAGAGGTTATAATGATTTTCCCAGTATCATAGAGTCAATAAATAGTAGAATAAGAATTCAAACTCAGGCCATCTAATTCTAAATCCAGTACTCTTCCCTCTCTAGCTTGGGGCTTGGCCCACATAAGGCCCACTAAACAAGGCTACATTGTGGTATATCAATGGACCTATGGGGTTTTAAAACTGAAAAAATAACCTATTGAATTATTCTAGATAATTCAAACAAAATTTTTAACAATGTATTCTCTTTTAAAACTATACTTCAAGTTATCTATATCATAATACCACCATCAGCCAAGGAAATTACATTGGCAATGTAAGAATTATTCTGAAGATTCTCTGCTTTGAAATAACTTGGACTGGGGGTAGAGCCAAGATGGCAGGGAAAAGCCCAAATACCTTTAAATAATGCCTCAAAACAAATTCTGGGGCAACAGAACCCACAAAAGGATGGAAACAATTTTCCAACATAAGACACCTTACAAGGTCAGCAGGAAAGATCTGTTGCACAGAGGTAAGAGTGGAGTGTAACTCAGTGCAGGCCACCCCAGCGCAGACCAGGCCCACCAAACCAGGAGCAGGTCTTAGGAGAGACTGAATCAGCAGCAGGAGCAGTGGCTCCTTCCAGAACTCCCAGCCCACAGATAGTAAGTGGATCAGACAACTGGTCAGAAGGAGATGATTATAGGAGTGTTGGCACTGGGGGCAGCACTCTGTTACATTGCCCATACCCAGATCTGGGTTGCAGTCCTAGTTGGCAGTCTCAGAGCGAAAAGGAGCACTAGCACATCAGAGTTTGTGGTCACAGGAGAGCAGAGACCCTGGTCACAGTTCCAGAGCAGAAAAGAGTGTTTATGATCAATCAGAGACCAGACCACAAGCCAGGAGAGTAGTAAACATACTTCACCTTAGATCAAACCGTCTTGGAAAAAATGAAAACTTATGGGTCCCTAGAATTATCCTGAAAACAGCTGCACAAAAACCCTGAAACTTGGAACAGTGCTTTCTCCACCTTAGAAGCATAGCCCCATTTTAGCTTATGGTTAAAAGTCAAGAAATAGGCTGGAAAAATAAGCAAACAACAGAAAAAATTTCTGCCTATAGAAGAAATACTATGGTGACAAGGAAGATCAAAACACACTCAGAAGAAGACAACAAAGTCAAAACTACCACATCCAAAGCTTTGAAGAAAAATATGAATTGGTCTCAGGCCATGGAAGAGCTCAGAAAGGATTTTAAGAATCAATTAAGAGAGGTAGAAGAAAAATTGAGAAGAGAAATGAGACTGAGAAAAAGAAAGATGATCATGAAAAAAAAAGTCAACAGCTTGGTAAAGGAAGCATAAAAAAAATACTGAAGAAAATAGTACCTTAAAAAGTAAAATAGGCCAAATAGTGACAGAAGTACCAAAATCTAATGAGATGACTGCTTTGCAAAGCAGAATTGGCCAAATGGAAAAAGATTGAAGAGGGGGGGCAGGTAGGTGGCACAGTGGATAGAGCACCTGCCCTGGAATCAGGAGGACCTGAGTTCAAATCCAGGCTCAGACACTTGACATTTACTAGCTGTGTGACCCTGGGGAAGTCACTTAACCCCATTGCCTAACCCCCCCCAAAAAATGTACTTGAAGTAAAGAAGACCTCAAAAAGTAAAACTGGCCAAATGGAAAAGGAGGCACAAAAATTCACTAAAATAATTCTGTAAATATTAGAATTGGGTGAGTGGAAACTAATGATTTTATGAGATAACAAGAAACAATAAAATCAAATCAAAAGAGTGAAAAAATAGAAGAAAATGTAAAATATCTCATTGGAAAAACAACTGACCTGGAAAATAGATCCAGGAGAGATAATTTAAAAATTATTGGACTACCTGAAAGCTATGATTAAAAAAGAGCCTAGACATCATCTTTCAAGAAATTATCAAGGAAAACCACTCTCATATTGTAGAACCAAAGGGTAAATTAGAAATTGAAAAAATCCACTGATCACCTCCTAAAAGAGATCCCAAAATGAGAATTCCTAGGAATATCGTAGCCAAATTGCAGAGCTCCCAGATCAAGGAGAAAATAATATTGCAAGCAACCATCAAATATCGTGGAACCACAATCAGAATAATGTAATATTTTGCGATTTCTACATTAAAGGAGTAAAGGGATTGAAATATGATATTCCAGAAGGCAAAGGAGCTAGGACTACAGCCAAGAATCATCTACCTAGCAAAACTGAGTATAATCCTTTGGGGGGGGGGGAGAAAATGGACATTCTGTGAAATAGAGGACTTTCAAACATTCCTGTTGAAAAGACCACAGCTGAATAGAAGTTTTGACTTTCAAATGCAAAATTCAAGAGAAGCATAAAAAGGTAAACAGGAAAGAAAAATTATAAGGATTTCAATAAGGTTAAACTGTTTACATTCCTATATGGGAAAATAATACTTGTAATCCTAAAACTTTCTTATTATTACGGCAGTTAGAAGCCATATATATAGACAGAGTGCACAGGCATAAGTTGAATATGATAGGATGATTATCCTAAAAAAAATAAAATTGAGAGGTGAGAAAAAGGAATGCCTTGGAAGAAGGGGAAAGAAAGGATAGAGTATATTATCTCACTTGAAAGAGGGGAGAAAGAGCTTTCACAGAGGGAAGGATAGGAAGAGGTGGGGGGCAGCAAATGAACCTTACTCTCATCAGAATTGGCTCAAATGGGGAATAACATGTATACTCAGTTAAGTGCAAAAATCTATCTTACCATGCAGGAAAGTAGGAGGGGAAAAAGGGATAAGAGAAGGGGATTGGGGGGTGGAATAGAAAAGAGGGTGGATTGGGATAAGTAAAATACAGAAGCAAAGCATTTTTGAGGATGGATAGAGTGAAAAGAGAGAAAGTAGGATAAACAGAAATAGGATAGAGGGAAATATACAGTAATCATGTCTGAAAAAAATGTTAACAAGTTTCTCTGATAAAGACTTCGTTTCTCAAATATATAGAGAACTGAGTCAGATTTATTTTTTTTAAATGAGCCATTCCTCAATTGATACATGGTCAAAGGATATGACCAGGCAGTTTTCAGACAAAGTAATCAAAGTTATCTATAGCCATATGATAAAATGCTCTAAATCTATTAATTAAAGAAATTCAAATTAAAACAACTCTGAGCTACTACCCCACACCTATCAAACTAGCTAATATGGCAGAAAAGAAAAATAATATATGTTGGAGGAGACATGGGAAAACTGAGGCACTAAATGCCCTTTTGGTGAAGTTGTATACTGATTCAACCATTCTGTAGTAGAGCAATTTGGAACTATGCCCAAAGAGCTATAAAACCATGCATATTCTTTGACCAAGCAATACCACTACTAGGTCTCTATCCCAAAGAGATAAAAAACAAAGAGGAAAAGGATCTATATGAGCAAAAATATTTATGGCAGTGGTGGCAAAGAATTGAAAATTGAGGGGCTTTCCATCAATTGGAGAATGGCTGAACAAGTAGTTGTATATTGTGATGGAATACTATTTTGCTATAAGAAATGATTAGTAGGATGCTTCCAGAAAAACCTGGAAAGATGTACATGAACTGATGCAAAGTGAAATGAGCAGAACCAGAAGAACATCGTATGTGGTAACAGCAATATTGTACGGTGATCACCTGTGAATGACTTAGCAGTACAATGATCCAAAACAACTCCAAAGGACTTTTGATGAAAAATGCTAATCATCTCCAGAGAAAGAACTGAGGGAGTCTAAATGCAGATCAAAGCATACTTTTTCTTTATTTTCTTTTTGGGGAGGAGGGGGTTCTGTTTTCTTTCACAACATAACTAACATGGAAATATGTTTTGCATAACTGCACATGTATAACATCAAAGTGCCTTCTCAATGGGGGGGGTTGGAAAGTGAGGAAGAGAGAATTTGGAACTCAAAATTTTTTAAATTAAATGTTAAAAATTGTTTTTACATCTAATTGGGGGAAAATATGACATAAAAAAAGAAATGACTTGGACTTAATTTTTTTCTTTGAATATCAAGAAAGAAAAAAACAGATTATTAGAAGAGATTAAAATACTGAAGCAAGACAAACAAGCTCTTGAAGTGGACTTGGAAAAGATGAAGAAAGAGAGAGACCTTGCTAAGGATCAGATTATTTATACTTCAGGTAAAACCTTAAATTTTGCCATTTGTTCATTTACAACAATTTTCGTGTGGAAATAAAATCCTTTCTACTATTTCATGTAGGTCAATATTGCTTTTATGATAAAACTTTTGAAATTGGATGGAACATAAAAGTACCTTCTTTTTCAAGCATATGGAGCTATGTCAGTGTTTTGAGTCTGGCATAATCACAGAATGGAATACTATTGACAAGTATTTTCAACTTGCTTTTTATTGGCTTCTGTTTTATCATATAGAATGCCACCTTTTGTGCCAAATGATGGACTTCTATCCAAAATGTCATTTACCAAATTTCACAGTAAGACTAGTTTTATATATATTAACACATGCTGAAATGTTCCAAATGTTTACAACAACAGTTTACTCCTTCAACACCATTTCCCTGATATAAATGTTTTTGACATTGAGTAAGCATGTTCATTAATGGAGTCATTACCCTGCTCTTTAAGTTTCTGCTTTCCTCTACTAGAAAAATCCTATAATGACATCCATAACTAACTTTTTTTTTTAATGATTTTTTTTTTTATTTTTTGGCTGGGCAATGGGGTGAAGTGACTTGCCCAGGGTCAGACAGCTAGTAAATGTTACATGTCTGAGGCCAGATTTGAACTCAGGTCCTCCTGACTCTAGGGCCAGTGCTCTATCCACTGCGCCACCTAGCAGCCTCCTATCAGCCAAGAAGGGTTAGCATGTTTATTTGACCTCTTACGGTCATATACCTTAAATTATAACATGGTTCTTCACGTTGTTTAAATGTTAAAGACATCTCAGAGACAATTTTCTGGAAGACTTCATATAACTTATTTCTAAGTAGCAGAGTTCAATTTTCAACTTATTCTTGCATAAGGACAGGAAGGTTATCACCTTATTTATTGCTTCCTTCTTTTAAAAAATGCATTTTATCATACCTGAGTTTCTTGTTTTTCTTATATTTTCCTTCTCCACAATATTAATTTTATTCAGTTTTACCCTGACACTTAATACTTAGTCTAATTCTAAGGTTGTGTGCTCTCTGTGGGTTTCCCTTCCTGGAACTTCTTATAAGTAAATTTGAATTTATGAACCTTAAGATTTTGGAAATCTTCCTTTCCTTTCAAGCCTTGATTCAGGTGCCACATTGCTTATGAAGATTTCCCTGATTCCCGCGGAGCATTGTTTCCTCTTCCTTGTATCATACTTATTTGTATATTTCTTAATCCTTTTCTAATAGCTCCTTGGGGGAAAAGACTAGAATGTTTTTCATTTTGCATTCCTAAGACTTTGCAAAATAATAGGTATTTAATAAATATTGAATTCATGGAAAATGAATTCAACCTTTATCAATAGTAAATGAGGTAATTGATTAATAGTTTGTTATCCCAGTCATTAGAATAATTATCCCCTAAGTCTTTATCATTCCTTTCAGAGTTTCATTAAGCCCTTCTATCAAGCTCTTTGCTATGGAGATGATTTACAATTATCTTTTATGTGATTGACTCATATGTCATTCTTAAGTTTTTCAAAACTTCTGTAAGGAAATTGAGCCCTTTTTTTGTCAGATTCTCAGAAAGAAATCTTTATCTCAAAAATACACAATGAGGATTTGTCTATTTTGTGAATGTCATTAAGAGCTTGATGCTGCTATTTCCAGATGGCTTGTAGTCTAGTCAATTATTATAAGAATATACCTTTTCCCCATTCAAATGAGTCTAGGAAGTGAACCTATTATGTTGATGCCCAAATCATCAAATCCCTAATATAACAAATACTTTAACAGTGAAACCCTTGTTTGGTATCTGCTCTTTGCTCTCACAGGCATCTCAGCACCTCTGTTATTCCAAATCATTGGAATCTGAATAATAACTATTTTGTTGGTTTGACAGTCCCTAGGTGAGCCTATAATATGCATTAAAGAGCCATTTGTAACCATAGTTTAAGATATTTGGACAACTCTTAAGCTTGCAAAGTGGTTTGTGAGTTGTCATACTTATATGCTCCATATTTTTGTGAGGCCACATGGTGTGGTTTGGTGAAAGAGCACTGGACTCTGTAGTTATGTCCAGATGCTTCTGGTTTTTGCCATGTAACCAGGAGCAAGTCATTAACACACATCTTACACATGAAGGAACAGAGGCTCAAAAGTAAAAGATTAAAAAAAAGAAATACTTGTACTACTTACCTCAAAGGGTTACAAAATCTAATCATTAGAAGGGACCTTAGAGGCCATATAGCCTAATACATACCTGATTAAAATGGCCTGTCCATCACTGTTGATCTCTGCTTAGAGACCTCCATTGAGGTCCATTACTCTCATTACTGCCTGAAGTAGCTCAGCCAACTTTGAAATAGCTGTAATGCTCAGGAAATTTTCTTTACATCAAGCCTACATCTGCATTTCTGCAACTCCCACCCATTGTTTTCAGTTCTTCCCCCTGGCAGCAAGCAGCATAATTTCAATTCTTTTATAGTATAGTCCTTCAGATATTTTTTTTAACTGTTATTATAATTCCCTAAGCCTTTATTTCACGCCCAACAACCCCAGGTCCTCCTGTCAGCTCTGTCATGATATGGCCTTCAGTCCACTAATCATCATTGTTGCCATCACTTGAATGTAATCTAGTTTGTCAATGTTCTTCAACCAAATGTTCCGGTTTGTGATGTGACCAGTACTAAGTTTACAGCAAAATCATCACTTCCCTCCTGGATATCCATCCTGCATTAGATCAGGGCCTGGCACACAGTGGGATCGTAACTAATATTTGTTGAATGATTGGCATATACAGGAGATATACTTTGTTAAAGGGAGCCATTAAGGTGGCGTTTTTCTCTATTGATTCAAATGGGTTTTTTTTAATAGTCAAAAAGCTATAATCACAGTACAATCTTATGTTTTCTATGCCTTTCAGTCATTTATATGACTATGTGGTCTGTTATAGAGTATTGTTTGTAAAAGTCTTTCTCATAGTTTGAACAATATAGTTATATAGAGCATATCTTCAATATGTCTGCAAATTATTCTCTTGAAGATTTTGTAAAGTTAAAAAAGAAAGAATCATTTAGGCCAGTATATATTGATATTTTGTCAGCTGACTTTTTTTTTTTTAAGTAATAATAAAGCCTGTGAATTTTTTTACCCAAACACTTGGAATCTGTTCTCTTTCAGATACTATGGCAGTGGAACCCTCAGTCTGCACAAAATCATGTCACTTCTAGTACAGGCTTCCTATGTGGTGGAGACTTGGTTTAGCCCTCCAGTTCTTCCCATCTTTCTTAGCTCTGGTGATTTTCCTACCTCCTTAGGAAGCATGGAGGTGACCGTGGTGTTTCAGCCCAAAAGTGGTAACTCTTCTGAAGTCATTGATGTGAGAAAAGAGCTAGTTATAGAAATCTTGACAAAACCTTTCCCTTTTTCATCTGTTCATTTTCCTATCTCTAGTTTCATTGTTAAATACACCTAAGCGATCTGGCATAATTGGATCTCTCACCAAGCTTATTTTTCCTTCTACTGCTTCTCAGCCTTTCTTAATGAGGTCGCAGTGCTCATCATCTTCTACCATCCGTCTCCATAAAAGTTCCCAAATGAGTTTTTATTCTAAACCACTGTTGCTCTTGGTTGTACAGAGAGCTGATTCATGAATGACTCTCTTGCAGCTAATCAGTTGTTGCCTATCTGTTAGAATGTAATCGATTTGATTTTTTTAAGTCTAGTCTGTTGCTCCCCAAGACCAGTACTTCCCTATTTTCTTCTGGAAAAAAAAGTTATGTATGCTTTGGCTTCACTCATATCTTATTTCCAAAATAGGTTTCCCAGCATATTTTTTGCTTTCTCACCCATTCCTTTCTTTCTTTTGAAATAGCTTAGTATTGAAGTATAATGTTGATTGGTTGAAGGATCTTTTAAATTCCTTTCAGAATTTCTCCATCTCTTCATCTTCTATAAGAGATGTTAGTGCGTAAGCTGCAATTACCCTCGTGGGAGTCTTTTTGAAAATGCTTTTCATGAGTACTGCAATACCAGATGACTAATAATTCCATAAAATAATGTGTCTTGTTGCCATTGGGACCCAGGATAAAATAAATCCTTTCATATCCTTTATTTGCCTTTCCAAGAAGAACCTATGAGCAATCATTTGTTTTAACTACCCCTTCCTTTTCTCTTTTGGTTTTATTTATCACAAGAATAGAGATCATCAACTTAGACAAGAATTTCACAAACCTGCTTTAAGATTGTATAAGTACCCTTTGCCCCCCCCACCCTATCCACCATTCTACCTATATCACATAAACAGGGGATAGTCACATAGGACTGAAGGCCATCTTGTATTTTTCCTTATTTCATGGGTTACCATGGCTAAAGAATTCATTCCTAAATCGCTAGTCTACTTGCAATGAACTTCTCTGTACTTAGCAAGGATTTCAATTCACAATTTTTGTTCTATCCTTCCCAGTCTTCAGGTCATTCTAATCAGAAAAACAATAGATGAATTATTGTTCAACCTTTTCACTATTATTCATTATCATCATCACATCTACTCAAGTTAGTGATCATATCAGACTCCCTCAAATATCCTTACCTCCCATTTCCTCAGCTTATTCCTTTTTCATGACATGTCCTCTATACCACCACAATTAGATATAGAGATGGTCTACCCTTGATCTTTCTATTATCCACAAGTGTTTCATTTCCATGTTCATGAACTCTGCTGATAAAAATCTATTGTAATCTCCCTCTGCCTTCCAATTCCAAACCCTATTCTTTATCTTCATTGCAACCTCCAGTCCCTCCACCCTTAAATTCTTTCCCAAGCCACCAGTCTACACTCTACTTCCTTCTCCATCTTCACCCTTTGGAGAACTGGTTCAGCTCTACACTGCTGTATTCTCTTGACTCTCTTGCCCACTTTTCCTATCACCAGTCTTGCCCTGCCAAACTTCAGCCTTGGATCATTCCCACCATCTGTTGCTTTTTCTCCTATTCATAAGCAAAGCTGAAGAAAATCACAA